TGTGTTTCCGATGCGATGAGAAATTTGGTCTGGGTCACCGTTGTAAGAATAGGCAATTACAGGTGTTATTGTTGGCAGAGGAGGACGGGGAAAGAGATGAGGAGGGGGCGCAGGAAGAGGAGCCCAGCACCGAGGGGGTTGAGGGAGTGGCAGGTTTGTCGATGAACTCGTTGATAGGAATTTCGTCCGCCAACACCATGAAGCTGTTAGGGACCCTAGGGAATCGAGAGGTGGTGGTGTTAGTAGATAGTGGCGCCTCCCATAATTTTCTGTCAAAGAAGGTCGTGAAGGAAATGCAGATTCCGATGATAGCCACCGGTGGTTATGGCATACAAATAGGAAACGGGGCTTGTTTTCGACAGCAAGGTTTGTGTAAGGGAGTGGAACTGCGGATCCAGGGGTACAAGGTCGTCGGGGATTTTGTCCCATTTGAGCTGGGGTGCGCCGAGGTGGTATTGGGGGTGACCTGGCTACGAACGTTGGGGGAAGTTAGAGCTGATTGGCAGCATTTCACCATGAAATTCCAAGCGGAAGAAGGCTGGACTTGCCTTAAGGGGGACCCGACATTAAGCTTGAAACCGGTAAGTTTTCGTACCCTAACTCGTAAACTACATAGGGAGGTAGTAGGGGCCTTGCTGGAAATATATTCCCTCGTGGGGGAAGAAGAAAACAGTCCTGTGGATAGGGGACCGGACTCCATTCAGGGGGTCTTGGCTCAATTCCCTGAGGTATTCGAGACCCCTGCGGGGTTACCTCCCAACCGGGGAAGGGACCACCAGATAGTGCTCAAACCAGGGGCGGAACCACCTAACATTAGGCCGTTCCGATATCCCCAGGCACAGAAAAGTGAGATTGAGAGATTGGTCGCTGAAATGTTGTCCTCAGGAATTATTAGGCCAAGTTGTAGCCCTTTTTCAAGCCCGGTTCTCTTAGTCAGGAAGAAAGATGGTAGTTGGCGCTTTTGCGTCGACTACCGAGCACTCAACCAGCTCACGGTGCCGGATAAATTTCTGATTCCCATCATCGACGAGCTGCTGGATGAGTTGCACGGGGCTGCCGTGTTCTCCAAGCTAGACCTTAGGGCAGGGTACCATCAAATTCGGGTGAGGGAGTTTGATGTGGAGAAAACGGCGTTCCGAACACACGAGGGACACTATGAGTTTCTGGTCATGCCGTTTGGCATGACCAACGCGCCAGCGACCTTCCAGGCCCTCATGAACAAAGTCTTCCAGCCATACTTGCGGCGGTTTGTATTGGTGTTTTTCGACGACATTCTGGTATACAGCTGCACGTGGGAAGACCACCAAAAACATCTTACCACGGTTTTGGACGTTTTGAGGAAGGAGCAGTTGTTTGCCAACCGTAAGAAATGTTCGTTTGGGCAGCCGCGGTTAGAATATTTAGGCCATGTCATCTCAGCACAAGGGGTAGCAGCCGATCCGGCCAAGGTGGAAGCAATATTGACATGGCCCCTGCCAAAGAACGTCCGTGGGGTTCGGGGATTTCTGGGGCTGGCCGGTTATTATAGAAGGTTCGTTCAAAATTTTAGGCGGTTGGCTCGTCCTTTGACCGACCTACTCAAGCGAGGGGAGTTCAAATGGACTGAGGACGCCACGGCCGCCTTTGTGGCACTCCAGCAGGCCATGACTAGCCTTCCGGTTTTGGCAATGCCAGATTTTGCAAAACCGTTCGTGGTGGAGACAGACGCCTCAGGCTCGGGCCTAGGGGCAGTGTTGATGCAGCAGGGTCGGCCGGTTGCCTATTTCAGCAAGGCGCTATCAGGCACTACTCGGTTCCGCTCGGTGTATGAACGCGAACTTATGGCGGTGGTCTTGTCGGTGCAAAAATGGCGCCATTACTTGCTCGGGAGACACTTCGTGGTGCGCACGGATCAGCAGAGCTTGCGGTTCTTGATGGACCAGCGGCTGTTACCCTCGGAGCACCTACGCTGGGCCGTTAAGCTATTTGGATACGATTTCGAGTTGCAATACAAGCAAGGGGCAGCGAACCGAGTGGCTGACGCCTTGTCTCAGCGCGAGGGAGAAACTGACTTAAGCCTAGCCGCCTTGTCCGTTCCACAATTCTTGAATTGGGATGAGATTCGGCAAGACCAGCTGCATGACGAGGACTGTGCGGCTTTAACCAGGAAATTGGAGCAGGGAGAAGGGGTGGTTCCTGGATTTTCACTCCACCAGAATTTGTTATGCTACCGCGGCAGGGTGGTGTTACCGCCACAGTCTCCCTGGATTCGTCGGATGCTTCATGAGTTCCACGACTCGGCTTTAGGGGGACACTCCGGGTTCTTACGCACTTATAAGCGTGTCGCTAGTAATTTTTTTTGGCGAGGCATGAAGAGGGATATATGCCACTACGTGGCGGACTGCCCGATTTGTCAGCGTTCCAAGTTGGACGCCTTGGTTCCCGCCGACTTACTGCAGCCACTGCCTATTCTGGCGAGGATATGGGAGGACATCTCCATGGACTTCATTAGTGGTCTGCCACGGTCCCAAGGGGTAGATACCATCCTGGTCGTCGTGGACAGGCTGTCCAAATATGCCCATTTCCTGCCTCTATCTCATCCTTTCATAGCCAAGAAAGTGGTTGAATTATTTCTGCGAGAAGTGGTGCGGCTCCATGGCATTCCGGCCTCCATTGTCACTGACCGAGACCCACTCTTTATGAGTCTCTTTTGGCGCGAACTATTCCGTATGCAGGGCACGAAACTGAGCCGTAGTTCAGCATATCACCCTGAGTCGGACGGCCAAACAGAGGTCGTAAATAGGTGCTTGGAGGTGTACCTGCGCTGTTTCGCAAGTGACACGCCCCGTTTGTGGTCGCAGTCCTTGCCTTGGGTTGAATTTTGGTTCAACACCAATTTTAACGCATCGGCTAAGCACTCTCCTTTCCAAGTGGTCTATGGCCGGGAACCCCCCACCATTCACTGGTTCCAAGACTCCTTCAGCCGTGGAAGATGTCAACCAACAGTTGAAACAGCGGAATGAGCTCTTGGACGTCTTAAAAGGGCATCTCGTGGGGGCGCAGCAACGTATGAAGAAATTTGCCGATGTGCACCACAGGGAACTGTCATTTGAGCAGGGTGACAGAGTCCTCCTCAAACTCAGGCCTTATCGCCTCAAATCTTTGGCTAGGAAACCAAACGAGAAGCTTGCTCCTAGATTTTACGGTCCTTTTGAGGTCTTGGAGAAAATTGGGGAAGTAGCTTACCGTCTCGCGCTACCGGGGGACGCGAGGATACATTCCGTTTTCCACGTTTCCCAGCTCAAACAATTCAGGGGTATGGACTCAAGGTGTCAGCCCCTTCCACCTCAGCTGTCGGATGAGCTGGAACTGCAGGTCGAGCCGTTAAGTGTCATCCGGGGTCGTTGGACAGCCTTGGGGGGAAAGTGAGTGGCTGAGATCTTGGTTCAGTGGAAGGGCTTGCAGGAATGGGAGGCTACATGGGAGTTCTTGGATGTGTTTCAGGAGCAGTTTCCAGATTTCAACATTGGGGACAAGGTTGTCTTCAAAGGGGGAAGTGATGTTAGGCCCCCGGTGAGGCAAGTATATGTGAAAAGGGCCAGGAAGGAAAAAGGGGAGGGCCCACAACCGATTGAAGTGAACTCAGGTCCAGGCCCACAACTGATTGAAGTGGACCCAGGCCCAGGGTTAAATGAAGTGGGTCAGCGGATAGGAGTGGGAGGCCAGCTTGGGGAACCGGGAACAGACGGTTAGAGCGAAGGGGATATGAGGGGAGATCGTGGGAAGGGAGGGGTGATGAGCAACTTCTAGGGAGTCTGAGGATTACTCGAAAATCCTTCAATATCTTATTTTTCCTGTTTTCCTTGTTTTCCTTCTGTTAGTTCTTCTTCTTCTTCCATCTTGGATTTCGAGGCTAAATCTGAGCCTCGAGTGTAATTGCCATTGGAAAGTAATAAAAACGTTGAGTTTGGATTCAGAAAATATCACTTGGTTGCTTCGATCTTAGAAAAACTCCTAGGATCCCAACAGTAGGTCTTTGGGTCCATTGAGAGAAGGAATCTAGAAGTTGTTTTATTTATTTATTTAGGTAGTTAAAAGATAATATAGGAATTGGGCTTCTTTTTTAAAATAAGTTTAGCATTGATTCTTGGAGGATAGCTCGTCCTCACTAATATTGGACACAATTTTTGATCATCAATAAGAGAATCTTTTTGTGTGTGTGTGTGTGCTTTTTTTTTTTCTAAAGCATATCTTTATATTTTGTTTACTCTGTTTCAATTTTATGCTTTTTGAGGACATCTCATCCGTTCTTCTTCACAATTGAATTAATTAGAGTAAAAGGATTCTTTTAATAAAGAAGGCATATCCTTGTAGCCTTTACGATCATCATCATCGTCGTTGTCATCACAACCACCACCACCATCATTAAATGTTATTGTTGTTGTTGTTGTTGTCGTTATCATTATTTTGTTTTGTTTTTTGAAAACTTGACCTTGTACCCGAAACTTACTAATTTTGTGAGATCAAAGTGGCATTTAAATCTGGAAAGAAAAGAAAAATCTTAAACTTTATAGTCGAAGAGGCCGATAGGTTTTAGAGTATTAATTGTGGATTTTAATCCAGTACTGAAATCAATGTAGCGAGGAACCAAAGATTGTGCCCCATAACTGTTAGGAGTCAAAATCTTGGAATCATTGGTAATTTTCTAAATTTTAAGAGATACCAGACATCTGGCTGAAATGGTAGGATTACCCCTAAAGTGGGATATGAATGTGCCAATATGGTGAAACATTGTGACTTCTGCTCCTTTTCTGCTTATCAATGTTCTCTCATGCTACTGTTTGCTCATTATTTTGCTAATGGTTATTATATCTTAACTTCGGAGGATAGCTTATCCTCTACTGTTATATTGATTATCTATCTTGCATTTTTATACAATGTGTTCTTATGAGAGATTTTATTTCATTTAGTCAAATATTATTTTTATTATGTTTATTTTTCATATTCTTTTTTTTTTGAAGGTCTTATCTTCAAGTATGGATAGCGGTAGTAAATTGCTTTATCAGGATAATGCCATTTCAACAAGTAATCTGGGCGGACCTTTTGTGTATGGTTTCGTTGACCTTTTCAGCGGCTCTGGAGAGTCCTGGAATTGGGGTTTTGGATTGGATGAGAACAGTGTAATAAAGACTTCAGTTCCTGCCCGTACAGTGGATGGTCCAAAAACTAAAAATAAGGTTGAGGAAAAGCACCTTCAGAACTATGTGGGACCATTGGTTTTCCAAGAAACAAGAAAAGATTCATTACTTTCCCCTATGACCAAATTACGTACACTTGAAGAAGAGAGTGAAGAAGGTGATAAAAACTTATCTTCTTCTAATTCAAGTACATCATCAGTGGAGAAATCAGTTGGAAATAGTAGCACAGGTGGGGAAGAGGTAAGTAGTTTGGATTCATTCTTTATGTTCGAATGCTTTACTTAGGTCTATCTATTTTAGAATTCAATTCATGTATACTATCTGAACTTTTTTCTCTCTCCAAAATTAGTCCCTGTAGTCAATTTTGTCTCATAAGTAGTCCCTGAACTCAATAAGTCTCTCATAAATTGTCCATCTATTAAATTTTGGATAGAAACTGTTAACTTTGTCTCATAAAAGGTCCTTGAACTATCTTCTCTCTTTTTATGTTAAAAGTTGTACTAAATTTATTCCCTAAACCTAAAAAAAATGACAAAATGAGTTGGTGTACTAATAAATAGAACTAAAAAAACATTAAATATGAGAAGTTGTAGCAAATGTGTTAGTTTACCAATCTATCTCAAAAGCTTAAGCTGTTAGGAGGTGGGCCAACAATAGTTTTATACTTTAACACTCCCTCTCACGTGTGGGCTGGACAATGGGCAATTGATGTGAAAATTGCAAGTGCACAATGTCGCATATAAGTAATAAAGTAGTGAATAGAGTATCGTTCCCACGAGGATTGTGTTAACTTTAATTAAGTACCGAAATTGGTTAACTCTAAAATTATTTGAACAACCTAAAATAAAATAGAAAAATAGTAAGAGCAAAATACAAATAAAAACTCAAATAAATAAAACTAAAATAAATAAAAGACTCAAACAAATTAAAGAATAGGGCAATTGATTTCACCAAATCTAATCTTCTTTAATTCATTATTCTTACTAACATCGCCTATTATTTATGTGTTAGAACGAGTAACCCCAAATTATTTAATAGTCCTTCTGGGGATGCTATCAAATACATTCCTAGCATGTAAACCCACTATCTCTCGATGTGAATTCCACCACCCTAGAAATTCATTACGGTTTATGGTTCTCTTAATTGTTCACGCAAGTCATGTTACTATCGCTAGATATCGCATGCACCTTACAATTTCTCTCACAAGAAGCTATTCCTAAAACTCTCCTTCTGGGGTTTCAATCTAGGTCTCCAAAACAATTCAAATATTGGCCAGATAATTGAAAGCATTAAGCATAGAGAAAGAAATAACAACCATGAACAATAAATTCTTAGTGAATTAATTTATTGAAAGCAAAAATAAATGAAATGAAATTAAAATAGAATTGGTAATCTCATAGCCCTAGCAAAAGAAAATTAGAACATAATTGAAAAAGAAAACATAAAAACAATAATAATTAACATAAGAAATTCAGGAAAGAATAAAACTGTTTGGCGAATTCAAAGTTGAACTCCGTTCTTGAACGAATTCTCTTCTCCTTCGTAGAGTCGTCTTCTCTCATTCTTTTCTTAGCCAAAAGATCCTAGAAAATAACCCTAAAATCCTATTTATAGTGTTTGGAATCATAGTGGCATTTTTGTAAATTTTTGGAACTCAAATGAACTCAAGTCAGCAAAATTTTCGAAGTTGCGCTGCGGCCCTGGCCTGAAAAATAGCCTATCCACACAATGCTTTGAAGTAGAGCCGCGGCCCTACTATTTGGGCGCCGCGGCCCTGGGCGGAAAATTGCTTCATTGCATAATTTGGCGCCATGGCTCCATTGTACAAAGCCTAGGCTCTCTTCTCTCGGGTTTTTGTACTGCAAATGAACCATTTCAAGGCCTAAGCGCCATCTTTCAAGGCCGAGGCTCTCCAATCTTAATTTAGCTTAAAAAATTACTCTTAACACTCACCTACGAACTCCAAATGATGCTAATCTGTAAAATCAACTAAAAATACATAAATTAACTACTAAAAGCACTCTAAAACTAACAAAACACTCAATTAGAAGTATTAAAAGATAAGCACAAATCTAATGTATCAGCAATCGTGTGGGTAAATTAATTGGAAAGCTCAACACGTGAATATTTGAGCCCGAGATATATTAAAGACTCAACACATGATGATAATTTAAATGGGGATAAAGAGTGCAATTACAGGGGTTTGAACTCAGGACCTCTCGCTCTGATACCATGTTAGTTTACCAATCCATCCCAAAAGCTTAAGCTGTTAGGAGGTGGGCCAACAATAGTTTTATACTTTAACAAAATGTAGTCCCTAAACTAAAAAAAAAAGAGTGATTCTATAACATCCATTAAATTTCTAATAACCTGACATAAACAATAATATTTTTTATTTTTTTTGTTATAGTAAAATAGTGTTATACAATAATCCTAGGTTACACTTTGTTGTATTGTGGATTGTGGTTTGCAGTAGTTAATTACGTTTATTCTTTTTTTTTAGGGAACCTTGTTCCCTTAATTTGGTGTTGAAGGATTATAACGAATGGGTAAGATATGTATGAGTATTGTCTTCTTGGTTGAATTTTGAATGTGCTGGTTTCAACATTTTTTTTGAATTAAATTTGTTTTTAATTTTATTTTTTTATAGAAATTTGTATTTTACTAAGAGAATAAAAAAAAAAAAAATAAAGTGACAGATTAGAGATTAAAGAGTTAAAATGGGTATAATACAAAGATATTTATAAAAGTATACGTTTTTAAAGTGATTATTATTAGATAATAATGATATGGGAACATTTATTAATATGGTCGGGCAAATATAATCACTCAAAAAAAGTATCAAAGTTACATATGTGAATAAATAGATATAAAAAAGTTGTAGCAAAAAAAAAAAAAAACACTAATTTTAGTACTCTTTTTTATTTTAGGAACTAGACTTGGTACAACTTTTCACATTTATGTTTTCCATCTATTTATTTAAAAACTGAACTAATTTTGGAATTTTTTTTTAGTTTAAGGATTAAATTTAGTACAACTTTTAACATAGGGATTATTTTGAAAGAGAGAAGATAATTTAGGGACTATTAATGAGACAAAGTTAATGGTTTCCCCCTAAAATTTAACAGGGACCATTTATGAGATACTTTTTGAGTTCAAGGATTATTCATGAGACAAAATTGACTATAAGGACTGATTCTAGAGAGAGAAAAATGTTATGGGACTATTCATGGATTTAACTTTTTATTTTTTATATTGGTTCTTTGTATTAAGTTTTATGCATTGATATTGATAAATGGAAAGACCCATGCCAATTTTTTTCCCTCCAAATCTCTTCCTTTCATGTTTCCTCTCCTATTTTCTCTGTTTGTTTCTCTGTCTTGCTTGGATCATCTTTTTTATTATCAAAATGTGACATTCTTTGAGCATTTCATTCATTAATGCATATGTATACATATAACCGTAGTTTTTGGTACGTGTATGTGTGTGTATTTTTCTGGAAAGATGTGGGGGTAAAGGATTTAAAGCGTGCAAGGATCAAAATCTAAGAACTTAACCCTGAGGCTGATGTGCATAGAATTAGATAGGTTGAACTTGAGGGACAAACAAATAGTTGATGTAATAGCAGTTCCTTTATCTAATTAGTGGATGAAGTGAATAAACTTCTCACTCCGGAAAACTTATTTATTCTTGTTCTTAGTGAAAAAATACAAGCGGGTAGCTTATTTTTGTGGCAAAAAAAAAAAAAAAAAAAAAAAACTCTTTAGACACCTTTTTTGCTCCTCATAATTATTGATTTTCGATGGTCTTATAATTTTATTAAAAGCGTGTTCAAACACTAAATACTGTCCAACAGTAAAAGAAAAATTAAGAAACGAAGAGAGACAAGTCCCAAAATTTAACGTTGTTTAGTCAATTCAAACTTCATGACTTCATGGGACACTACTCAAAGTATTATCTTTTTTTTTTTTAAATAATAGATTGCCTTTAATGATAATTGTCAGTAGCGGTTACAAGAGGTTAAGGTATCCTCAAAATACAAGGAAAGCAGAGCAAAACAAAAATTCAATCAGATAAAACTAGGGATTCATGTTCCTATCACATCTTTCCAATTCAAAACAATCAAAGAAAACGGAGAACCCTTGAAAACTTCGTGTTACAAAGCCCATTAAGAAGCTAAAAATTTGGCTTTGTCAAAAATATCAGCAATATCCAAAGCCTTCTCGAAAACTGCACGTTTATACTTTGAGTGTTTTTTTACTCAAAGTATTCTCTTTAGTAGGCCAAACTCACAAATCATTGTCCATATCATTAAAGTATGAAGCTATTATTCACTTCTCATGTTGGTATATAGGAGTACTTTACACATTTTGGACTCCTAGGCTGAGTAGGGCTTCTCCAACTCGTAGAGTGTAGATTCCTGCAAAGAGAGGATTCGTAATGCCCAACAATAATGATGCATCAGTGTAATGATGCATACCACAATGCTATAGGATATATGTCCATGCATGTATATATGCATGAAGAATCATCTTTCAACAAGATGATGAATTATTTCACAAGGCTCTACAGTACAGATAGAAAATTGACCAACATGAAATTTTTATTTCGACATCTTCCATTTCATTTTGGTCTTCTGGCTAGTCTCATTTGAAAAATACTAATAAAGTTGGAGAGTATATCACAGCTATAAATATTTTTGTGCTCATAGGATTTTTCTCTCGTGGAGCATATTGAAGAGGATGATAAGGGAAGTGAATGTTCAAACTCGTTGTCCTCTGCATCCTTGTCTCATGAACGAGTACCCCAAACTTCTCAAAAGGATTTGATTATGGTAAATCCTATCACTTTTTTCTTCTTTTTCATGCATTTAGTAAAATTGTCTTAAATGTTGCTGTTAGGACATAAAACTAAAGTGCGTCTACTTGTTAATAGCTTAAGTTTTTTGGATGGATTCCTCATCAATCCTTTATCTTCATTTGTAACAAATTGTTGATAAATGAAGTCTGTTTGTTTCTTATGTATATACAAAAAAACTCCAAGCTTTTTGGGATGGATTTGTAATCTGAAATTGTATCATAGCATCAGTTCCTGGAAAACAGAAAACTTTTAGTACTGGATTCGACATACAAGATTTGCAAAGATTTGCCCTTTTCATTGACTGTCTTGAATTGGAATGATGTCATATTTTTATTTTCGTTTTAGTTTAGTTTTAGGTTTTTTTTTTCCCCTTCTCTCTTGAGGATGCCTCAGCCTCTTCGAACTTGATTTTGTCAATACAAAAGTGTTTTTTTTTTTCAAAAAAAAGGAAAAGGGCAGGAGTTCTTGGGTTCAAACTCATGTAATTGCACCATCTAATATTGTCATTGTTTCTTGGGCCTTTAATATGTTTTAGGTTTATAATTAAATATTCACATTTAGGGCTTTTTAGTCAATATTTAGCCACACTTTTGCTCATTGTCCGGCCTACATGTGAGGGGGAGTATTAGAATCTAAAGCTATTGTTGGCTCACTTCCTAATAGCTTAAGCTTTTGGGATAGATTGGTAATCTAACAGTTGCTTCCCTTGTTGTTAGGTTCATTTGCTTCGCCTTGCTTGCACTTCTAATGTAGCATTATCTAATGCTATGCAACAAATCTCAACCGAACTGTACAATTTGGGGGTATGGAATTTCACCTCGTCACGTCCATGTTTTTCCAAGATACGATGTTAGCTAGTCTAAAACCTCTAGATTTGATCTCAAGTTTTGTTTAGATTTTGATGTATGTTAATTTGGTTTACAGATCTTTTCAGAACAGGCTAAGGAGTTAGCTTCTGAAGCATCTACAGTTTTTAATAGAACATTTGATAATGCTTTCCGACAATATATGGTGTGCTTCCTGTTTTATAATCTTTTGTTATTTAACCTTGGTTTCTAGTTTTCATTATATTGTTAAATTTTGTAATTAATTTTATCCAGGTTTCATCAAAATTATCCGAGTTTTGGAAATACACTTCTGATATTGAAGGGCCACGTACATCTCTCCCAAACTCTCGGTATCTGAATGACTTTGAGGAATTACAGTCCCTTGGTAAAAGAAAATACACATTTAATTTTTCTTTTTGCTTTACATAGTTTTAGTCATCATCTCTGTCTCTCTCTGTATGTATATATCTGTACACTCAAGATATAAGCTAAATGATGAATAGATTTGATGAAACTAATTGATAATTGATGTGTGTGTATGTGTATCTGTGCTTGTGTGCGGTCACGTGTGTGTAAAGCTAATTTGTTTGATAGTTACTTACACTTTGTGCTAGTAGGTTTTCCTCGCAAAACAGAAAGGTAGCTTAGGCATTTTTTTTATGTGTTGGTATAATTTCCATAAATATTGAAAGTTGATGGTGGAAAAAAAAGGGTAGGAATTTAGTTAGGAAGAGCAAACTTCATAATGATGCTATGATGGTATTACACAATAATCCCAAACTGGGTCTTATATGCTTCGTTCCATGTTTAATAGCTGCAATGTACCTAGATCGCATTACTGTGTTGCAATGCTTTCACTCTGGGTTTTGCATCAATGTGAATGTCGGTGAAAACTACAGTGCCAGTCCTTTGTGTGTTTGTCACCAGGATAATTTGAATTTATAGCTCGTAACAGGCTGAAGTATACATAATTTGTTTCATCATAAAAAAGGTTATATATATATATATACACACACACACATACACATATATATATATATATATATTTAAAAGAAACAAGGAAATTTATTGATTGAGAAACAAAGAACATGGAGAAAAAGGAGGAAGAGTTTTCCTCAATACAAAGAGAATCAAACAAAATTAGAAACTTAGGCTTTATCTTCATTTTGTATTTTCTTTCGAGAAGGATTTGTCAATTGAGACTCAAATAAGGTAGTAGTTTTTACAATATATTGCCTCTACTTGTTTGCTATGGATAATAAATATGTACAATGGATATTGATACATGACCTATTATTAAATTGGTATCTTCAAGTTTTAAAAATATCTTTATGTTCTTATTTTGAGACGTGAAAATGTCCAAATTACCCTTTATCAATAAACTTGTTCTCTCTTATAAAGAAAATGTCAAATTACCCTTCAAATTAATTGATAGAAACTAAAAATTTCGCTTGGAATTAAGTTTTATAAAACATTTTTAGAGTATCAATAAAACTTTAACATTTTAAAATTTTGTTTTGAAATGTTTTAAAATGTTCGTGACCTGCATGGGCCATTAATTTAATTCAGTCATTTTTTCTCGTTTTTTTTCAAGGATATCTCATCCTTTTTCCTTGTAATTGATTTTCTATAAGTGAAATGGGTTTTTCTTCTAAGAAAAGAGTTTTAAAATATTAAAGTTTTATTTGTTTAGAATATTTTAAAATGTTTTATAAAACGCGAAATTTTCAGTTTCTAATTTATTAATTAGAAGAGTAACTTGAACACTTTATGTCCTAAAAAACGACCCTGGGGCAGCTAAAAGATGTTTTTTAAAACTAGATACTTATTTAATGTTATAAAAAAACATAGGATACCTTGATATAATAAAGTGTACTAAAATGATTTTCTCCCTCTTCGGAAATTTAGTTGATAGAATTAGGATATAGGTATAGTTGGGTATTTCTTGATATATACAGTGCTCATCTTAAAAGTTTTTTTTTTTTTTTTTTTTTTTTTTTTTTTTTTTTTTTGTGGAGGCTAACAAAGAGTTAAAGCTCCCTTAAAAAATAAAAAAAAATAAAAAAAAGAGAGTAAAAGCTCTTAGTATTGAAGGGACTTGAGCTTCAGTTTTGAAAAAGGCTGTTGTGGATCAGGGTGTAAAAGTGACAGGACTGTGTTAGATTTGTGGAAAAGATGTTGAAATGATGGATCGTTTGCTAGTTGCTCTTAGGGAGTAATAAGATAATTTGGTATATTTTCTTAACTTCTATTTAATTGGTTTGCACCACTTTAATGATGAAGAGGATGGCCAGTTGACTCGGAGGTTTTGTGTACATTGTTTTTGCTTTGAAATATATAATATTTGTTAGGATTTCATCTATATATGTGTGAGTGTGGTGTATTAAAACTTTAGAAGAAATTTTTTCAGCCTTTTCGTGTCTGGCTTTTTTTTAAGTGTTCGTGACGTGTTTTTTCTCCTCTTTGATGCTCCTTCCCACTTCCCCTTTACCATTTATAGATTCTATTTCCTCTTATGGCATAGAGGTTTTGTTTCATTCTGACATGAAATTTGAATTTTGTTTGATCTCAGAACTGGTTTGACTCTGCCTAAATTTGTACTTGGAATCTTAACATTTTATAACAGGTCATGGTGGTTTTGGCCACGTTGTGCTGTGTAAAAACAAAATAGATGGAAGACAGTATGCAGTGAAGAAAATTCGCCTCAAAGATAAAAGCCTGCCTCTTAATGACCGGATATTGAGGTATATTTGTATGTTATGCTGCAATCTATTGTGAAAATTAGGAGTAATTAGTCCACATTTTTTTTTTTTTCCAAAATAAAACACTCGAAGTTCTTACCTTGAGTTTTGTGGTCCTTTCAAGTTTTGTCATTTCAGTTAAATTACGTTGCTGTGTTTTATTTTTTATCTCTTTAATGGTTTTAAGACAACTTTCATGACCAACAATAAAAAAGTTAAAAGGAAAACAAAACATAAAACAATTACAATAATTAACTATTTATGTATGTCTATCCGTTCGTGGTCTAGTAAATAACTATAATCAGAATTCGTTGCCATACATTTTCCTTTTCGGTGGGGGTAAATTCTGTCGGAGTGCCATTACTGTCAAGAAACTTGCAATTTTAATAAGGAATGTGTGGATATTGTTTTTCAGATCTTCAAGGGTTTCTATAACCTTCATGCATATACTATTTTTGCTTTTGCTTCTGTTTTTATTTGCTTGTTTTTCATATTTAATTTTTTCCCCTTTCCTCTCTACTCTGTAATTTGGAGTAGTTGAGCTTGTTTTCTTTGATCAAATTTTCTCCCTTCAAGATATCGTTTGAATTTTGTTTATTACTGTTGGTGAGGTACTTAGGGAAGTAGCAACACTGTCACGTTTGCAGCATCAACATGTTGTCCGGTACTATCAGGTAATGTGGTTTCTTGTTTCTTTCACTGCTTCTGTTCCCCCCACCCCCCGTGGTTTCTTTCATTGCTGATTTTCTCCTTTAATATTCATGATCATGTTTTGTGGTTTTGACGAGATGCACATTTTCATGTGTTTTAATTTGTTTCATCATAAATGCATAACGACGAAATATATATATTTCTTAATTTTTGCTTAGTGTGATTTTAAACAATATTCTATCTCCTTGAGTTTTTGTTCTTTACTATAGTTCTAATAATTTTCAGAACTTCTAGGCGTGGTTTGAGACAGGAATTTCTGGTTCCTATGGTGACGCCATTTGGGGGTCAAGGACTGCAGGAGGCTCCAATTTCAGCTTCACCGGAACAAGCTCAGCAGATACCATTGGGCAAGACAACAAGCTTGAATCAACATATCTGTATATTCAGATGGAATATTGTCCGCGGTAAAACTTCTATTAGAGTTTATTTTCTGATTTCTCATGGAATAATAATTGCAAGTGTACAACCAAAGAAAGGTTATTTTACTCCCATATAGAATACTGCCGCTTCATGAAAGGATGTTTTTGGAATATTTATTGTCCTTAAACTTGTACGACCATGACAATTAAAAGTTTATTCTTAATTAGGTCTTGCCTCCAGAACATTAAATTACAGAGTTGAGTTTATTTTATTTTATTTTATTTTTTATTTTTTTATACAGCGAACACTTCTTTAATTTTCTTCCCTTTCTTGTTTTATTATCGACGAAAGGGTCATTAAAAAAAAAAAGGGCTTGCCTCCATAACCTTGAATTACAGTTTAGTGTTCCTTATTTTTATTTTATTTTTAAAAACTATCAGTTTTGGAGAGAATAAGCAATCTTTATTATTCTTATTCAACGTATCAAAGAGTACATGAACATATATATAGTAAAGAATTCCTACGCTACTAACAAGATTTGAAAACTAAACTATAAGATAAGTTAAGATAAACTAATCCTCCTAACAGATAAGATAAACTATAAGATTTGAAAAGTAATTCAAATCTTTTACTAAAAGATAATACTCCTAATAGTTATCCCTAATAAATAGGAGATAAAAGATCTATCATAATCGACAGCCCCCCCCCCCCCCCCCCCCCCCCCCCCCCCCCCCCCCCCCCCCCCCCCTCAAGTTGGTGCATAGATGTTCAACATGCCCAACTTGCTTGTGAGAAACTCGAAATTCGATCTAAAGAGTCCCTTGGTGAGAATATCAGCTATCTGTTGTGTTGAAACACAGATAGTTCCAGCCTCCAGCTTCTCTTTTATAAAGTGACGATCGATCGCAACATGCTTAGTTCTATCATGCTGCACAGGATTGTGGGCAATACTAATTGCAGCTTTGTTGTCGCAATACAACTTCATTGGCATCTCAACTGATCTCCCAAGCTCGTCAAGAATCCGTTTAATCCACAACATCTCACACACTCCATGTGCCATAGCTCGGTATTCAGCTTCTACACTACTCCGGGCAACTACATTTGCTTTGCTCCTCCATGTGACTAAATTGCCCCATACAAAAGTGCAATAACCAGATGTAGACCTCCTGTCTGTAATGGAACATGCCCAGTCTGCATCAGTGTAAAGTTCAATCGTCTTCCCGTCCCCTTTCTTGAAATATAGTCCTTTTCCCGGTGTGCCTTTTAGGTATCTTAAAATCCGATATACTCCTTCAAGATGTTCTTTACAAGGATAGTGCATGAACTGACTCACAACACTTACTGCAAAGGCTATGTCAGGTCGGGTGTGCGATAAATAAATCAGCTTTCCCACTAATTTCTGGTACCGAGCTGTATCAACCGGTGCTCCATCCTTGCAATCTCCTAGTTTTTGGTTCGGATCTATGGGAGTATCTGTAGGCCTGCATCGTTCCGGTCTCATTGAGAAGATCCAGCACATATTTTCTTTGCGAGATAGCAATTCCTTTCCTTGATCTTGCAACCTCCATTCCTAGAATGTATTTCAAGGTTCCCAAGTCTTTGATCTCGAATTCTGAGGCCAATCTTTTCTTTAATTGTTCCATCTCTGCTACATCATCACCGGTGAGAATAATATCATCTACATACACTATTAAGACCGCCACCTTAACATCATTGGAGTGTTTCATAAACATGGTGTGATCACTCTGAGCTTGGACATATCCCTGATTCTTCACTGAATGAGTAAATTTTTCAAACCAGGCTCTCGGAGATTGCTTGAGCCCGTATAAGGAGTTTTTTAGTCTGCAAACTTTGGAGTTAAACTTCTCTTCAAATCCAGGTGGAGAGGCCATGTACACTTCTTCCTCCAAGTCTCCATTCAAGAACGCATTCTTTACATCTAACTGCTGAAGAGGCCAATCAAGGTTTGTTGCAATTGAGAGAAGTACCCTCATTGTATTTAACTTGGCTACCGGGGCGAAGGTCTCAAGATAGTCAATGCCATAGGTTTGTGTAAAACCTTTGGCCACCAAGCGAGCCTTGTATCGTTCAAGGGATCCATCCGAGTTATATTTTACTGTAAAGACCCACTTGTAGCCCACAGTCTTTTTTTCCCGTGGCAGATCCGTTACTTCCCATGTTTGATTCTTCTCTAGAGCGCTCATCTCCTCATAGACAGCCTTCCTACACTCGGGAACCTGTAAAGCTTCCTGTACACTCTTTGGAATTTCCACAGAAGAAAGTCGTGAAGTAAAGGCTAAGAAATTAGGGGACAATTTTTCATAAGAAATATGGTTGGACATGGGATGCCTAGTGCAGGAACGAATGCCCTTCCGGGCAGCAATAGGGACATCAAGATCATCACAAGACTCAGAATTAGATTGAACGTTTGGAACGGACTCAGTTTGATTTTTACTTGGAATTATGGACTGTTTAGGTTCCTCCCTTGGTTCGGATTCATGGTTGTGAAGAGAGATAGGACCTTTTTCCTTTGAACATTTTCTCCTTGAATAGGTTAGTATGTTGGTACTTGTTTTGGTCCCATTCCTTTCACCAATGAGATTTAGTTTGGGTGATGGCACAAGAGATGTTTGGTCTGAGCTTCTAATATTTTCAACATTTGTTTTCTTTACAGCCTGATCTTGGTCAGGAATTTCTAGTACAAATTCGGATTCTAAAGTCTGGTTTTCGAAGGTATTTTCTTTATTTTCTTTATCCGGATTTGTACCAAATTTTGTAATAGTAGTTTCTAAATCCAAGTTTGAATCCAAGTTTATTTAGAAAACATCAAGAGCATCATCATCCACATCTTCCCTTCCCCCCCTGAAGATGGTATTCAAAGAAAGATTTAGAGGATGTTTGGTAGAGGGATTTGTTCCCTGATTCGAATCATGATTCGTGATTCGCTACAGTTTTTTCTCTCACAAAAAATACACGTAAATCGAAAATGGTTCGAATCACATGGTTTGAATCCTCCAACCAAACGTCCTCATTTTCAAAAATGGTTACATCCATGGTTATAAACATTTTTTTTTTTTAAAATAGGATCATAACATTTATATCCTTTTTGAGTGGGGGCATATCCTACAAAGACACTTTCTAGCCCTAGGATCAAGTTTCCCTCAGTTATTATCATGATTATGTGTAAACACAATACATCCAAAAATTTTCGAAGGAAGTGTAGAGGTAAGCCGAGACGTATGGTAATTAGTTTTAAAAACATTTAAGGGTATTTGAAAACTTAGAACCCTAGAAGGCATCCAGTTTATTAGATAAGTGGCTGTCAAAATGGCTTCCCCCCAAAGATACTTAGGGACGTTATTTTTAAACAGTAAGGCCCGCCCTTGCAACTCCTAAAAGATGTTGATTTTTTCATTCCACCACACCATTCTGTTGCGGAGTATCATTACAAGAGCTCTGATGAACAATACCTTTTTCCAAGAAAAAAGATCCCAAGATCTTATTGAAATATTCTTTCCCACTATCCGTTCGTAAAATTTGAATTTTTGTTTGAAACTGAGTTAAAACCATGGTGTAAAAATTTTTAAAAACATTTTCAACTTCAGACTTCTCTCTCAACAAGTATACCCAGCTTACCCTAGTGTGATCATCTATGAACGTGACAAATCATTTTTTTCCTGAGGGTGTAAAAATCCTAGAAGGTCCCTAAACATCACTATGGATAAGCACAAAAGGTTGGTAGGGTTGTAAGGGAAAAATAGAACGGTGATGCTTAGCCAATTCACAAACCTCACATTGAAAAAAAGATGGATTTTTATTTCTAAACAAATCTGGAAACAAACTTTTTAAATAATAGAAATTTGGGTGGCCTAGTCTATAGTGCCATAACATTATGTCTTTATCACTAGTAATAGAAACAGTCCCATAACATGTACTTTGTGCTAGCCTTTGTGAACTTGATCCATCTTCAAAGAAATAAAGTCCTCCAATCTTTCTAGCACTGCCAATCATCCTCCCCGTGGTTAGTTCCTGAAACTCACAATAAGATTCAAAGAAGTTAACTTGGCACTTAGGGTCACTGGTTATTTTACTGATGGACAATAAGTTAAATGAAAGATTAGGAACATGAAGAACATTGTGGAGAGTAAGAGAAGGAGAGATAACAATTGACCCTGTTCCAGCTATCACTGATAATGCCCCGTTGGCAATTTTAATTTTCTTATTACCTGCACAAGGTTATAATATGAAAATAATTTTGAAGAACCGGTCATATGATCGGTTGCACCTGAGTCAATAATCCATGAATGAGATGGATTAAATTTTTCACAAGAAAAGGCTGTAGTAAGGTAGTTACCCTTTTGGGCCAAGGTGCAGGAAGAGTTTACTGAGAACTGTGGAGATTGAAAAAGCTTGTATAGGTGGTTTAGTTGTTCCTTGGTGAAGGGAGATGCCTCTGAGGTAATTTGCTGCCCTTGAGAGTCTTCATTCACGGTTTGTAAGGCTCTACTTTCTCCTCCATTTCTCTTCTTTTGGCTTTGAGGTGGTTTTTCATGGAGTTTCCAGCAAGTCTCTTTGGTATGCCACGGTTTTTTGCAATGGTCACACCAGGGTTTCTTCCTCTTTTCTCCATCTGCATCACTCCCTCTTGACACCAAAGTCGAACTTTCAATCTCAAGGCTGTTTTTAGGTTCAAAAGTCTTCAACATCACTTTGCGCCTGGTTTCCTCTCTCCTTACTTCAGAGAAAACTTCCTTGATGGAGGGCAGTGGTTTCCTTCCTAGAATCTGGCCTCGTACTTCATCTAATTCATGATTAAGACCTGCAAAAAATATAGACTCAATCATTCTCCTTTCCTTTCTTATGGCAAACACTGTTAGTTGGACAATCCCATTCATCTTCATAGCAAAGATCCAATTCCTGCCAAAGTGGTACAATCTCATTGTAATAAGACGTAACGTCACGAACTCCTTGTTTGGACTTCCAAAGTTTCGTTTTCAATTCGAAAATTTGGAATGAATTTTCCACGTCTGAATACATGTCACGAACTGCTTCCCAGACATCTTTGGCCGTGGGCAGAAATAAATGCGGCTTTCCAATGGCTGGTTCCATGGAGTTGATGAGCCACGCAATCGTCAAAGAGTTCTCTAACCTCCATGCTTTCAGGTTTGGGTCCCCTGCTGTTGGTTACTTCACTTCGCCGGTTAAATAGCCAAGTTTTCCTTTGCAGTCAATGGCCAGCTTAATGGACTGAGCCCCCTCTAGGTAATTGCTGCCATTCAGTTTATGGACAATCAATTGAAGGGAAAGGTTTGATGAGAGGTACTCTACTTTGCTGGTTGATACTGTGGTTGATACTGTGGATTCTAATCGGGTCCTTTCGGTGGTATAGGATGAGTCTCCACCGGAGGAAGAGGTATTCTTTCTAGTCATTGCCCTTTTGTAATTCATAGGGAGTTTTAGGTTTTGAGCCGTGTGTCTGATACCATATCAGTTTTGGAGAGAATAATCAATCATTATTATTCTTATTCAACGTATCAAAGAGTATATGAACATATATTTAGTAAAGAATCCCCTACGCTACCAACAAGATTTAAAAACTAAACTATAAGATAAGTTGAGATAAACTAATCCTCCTAACAGATAAAAAAACTATAAGATTTAAAAATGAATTCAAATCTTTTACTAAAAGATAATACTCCTAATAGTTATCCTTAATAAATAGGAGATAAAAGATCTATCATAATCGGCAAAAACAAACAAAAAATTGTCTGTTTTCTTAAATAAAAGAAGTCTGTACATCAGATGTCATAGTCTTTCAAACAAACAATGAAGCCATTCATCTGTCATTTCTGCACTATACCAGCTATTGAATTGGCAACAATTCTAATTTTTAATTTAATGTAATGTTGTTTTTTGTGTGTTTGTTATTTCCGAGATCTAAATTTTTGTGTGTTTGTTATTTTCGAGATCTAAGCATGAGACTTCTCCTGATTAATGTTTTTATGTTGATAAAATCTTTTCCTACAATTATTTTCCGCTGTGTTTCTTATATTTCACTTTTCTTGGAAGGACTCTACGCCAGGTTTTTGATCCATACAGCCATTTTGACAAAGAATTAGCATGGCATTTTTTCCGTCAAATTGTTGAAGGCTTGGCACACATACATGGACAAGGAATCATCCACCGCGACTTAACACCAAATAATATATTCTTTGATGCTCGCAATGACATTAAAATTGGGGATTTTGGTCTCGGTAAGATCCATACATATATATATATATGTGTGTGCGCGCGCGCGTGCTTGTGTGTGTAATAACGGAGACTGACATCACTTTTCCTTCATGGAAACTGAATTTTAGAGGGGTGTTATCTTATGATTGGTTGAGTAAAAAACCCTATATTAGATCAGCATGTCAACATGTGTCAAATTTCATACATACTCGAACTCAACATGTGTTTTGTTTGGCATATCATTCTTTACAATAAAATCCTGTAGAAAGGAGCCGATTAGGTTATTTAAATTAGGATAGTGTTATTTTTGTAAATTAGGATTTCTGATTTAGTTTCCTAATAAATAGGATCAGTTATTGAATTGATTGATTCATAATTTAGTTACTTTCCTAGTTTGTTGAGATTCCTAATTTGGTGGGATTCTCCGTTTACGTTCCTAGAATAAGTGGACTGGGATGCCGGCCAATCAAGTATAAATATTAGGGCTGTATTTCCTTTGGTTAATAAGAATTTCTCTTCACCAAAATTCTCATGGTATCAGAGCCGAATTCAAAACCCTAATCCACTCTATCATCAATCTCTCATCATGACCAAATACGGCATGAATACCCAAACCAGTTCCTCGGAAGTCCAGTCAAGACTCGAGCAAAATTCTCTAGCCGTCAACGCTGATAATCCCTCAGCCAATATCATCGAAAACTCACCTCTTCCTGTTACCAGTCACAAACTCAGTGGCCACAATTTCCTTCAGTGGTCACAATCCGTCCTCATATATGTATCTGGCAGAGGAAAAGATGAGTATCTCACCGGTGAGGTCCCTGTTCCAGCGGCAACAGATCCCAAGTATCGGACGTGGAAAACAGAAAATCACATGGTTATGTCATGGCTAATAAACTCCATGACCACCGAAGTTGGAGAGAATTTCCTTCTCTACAAAACAGCCAAGGAAATTTAGGATGCGGCACGTGAAACCTACTCCAGTTCTGAAAATACCTCAGAACTTTTTGAAATTGAAACTCGACTTCATGATATGCGACAAGGGGAGATGACAATCACTCAATATTTCAACACAATAACCCGGTACTGGCAGCACCTTGATATGTTTGAAATATATCCCTGGAAATGTCCTGATGATGCAGCTTTATACAAAAAGATTGTTGATCAAAAGAGAACATTCAAATTTCTCCTTGGTCTCAACAAGGATCTGGACGAAGTAAGGGGGAGAATCATGGGAAGCAGGCCACTGCCTTCCATTCGAGAGGCATTTGCTGAAGTCAGAAGAGAAGAAAGCAGGAAGAAACTAATGATGATAGAAAATATGAGCACCCCGGTTGCTGAAGGTTCGGCCTTATATACACACAACTCATCTCAGGATAACAGGCAAAGAAGAGGAAGACCATGGTGCGACCATTGCAAGAAGCCTGGTCACACCAGAGAAAATTGCTGGAAAATACATGGGAAGCCCACTGATTGGAAGCCTAACTGTGCTCGCCAGGACCGGGACAGCCGCGCAAATGCTGTCACCACTTCAGACAACCCCAGCACCACTCCTGAAATCAGTACGTTCACCAGGGAGCAGATTGAGGTACTGCAGAAGCTACTCGGACAGGTATCAGGTCCTTCTCAGTCCACATCACCCACTGCTGAACAACATACCAGCATGGTAGTACATCAAGGTACATTTTCCTTTGCTCATATTGCGAAAACCAGGAAATTAAGACCATGGATAATTGATTCTGGGGCTTCGGATCACATGACTGGAGATATTAATGTCTTCCACAAGTTCAGTGCATATTCTAGTCCTAGCACAGTACGAATAGCCGATGGATCACATTCAAACGTGGCAGGAATCGGATCCATCAAATTGACAAAGGATCTCCTTCTCTCATCTGTCCTTTATGTTCCAAAATTAGATTGCAATCTAATTTCTATTAGTAAACTCACCCGTGACTTGAACTGTGTGACTAAATTCTATCCAAATCTTTGTGAATTTCAGGCAACGGATTCGGGGAAGGTGATTGGCAGTGCTGAAATGTGTGGTGGTCTCTACTTGCTCAAACGGAACCCTCCTCCACATGGACAAGTTCATTCAAGTTGTTTTTTTGAGTCTGTTTCCAATTCTGTTTCTGTTTCAAATGAGAATCAAGTTATGTTATGGCACTTTCGCCTTGGTCATCCAAATTTTGTGTACCTTGAAAAATTGTTCCCTCATTTATTCATCAATAAAAATTCCAAGTTTTTTCATTGTGAAATATGTCAACTTGCAAAGCACACTCGGCATGTCTATCCTAGTATTCAATATAAGCCTTCACATCCATTCTCCATAATTCACAGTGACATTTGGGGACCCTCACGAGTGAAAAATATTAATGGGGCTCGTTGGTTCATATCTTTCATAGATGATCATACTTGAACCGCTTGGACATTTTTAATGAAAGAAAAATCTGAAACAGGGGAAATCTTCAAGTCCTTTTATTCTATGATTCACACCCAATTCAAAAGCAAAATTCAGGTTCTTAAGACCGATAATGGCAGGGAATACTTTACATCAGTTTTGGGTTCCTATCTCTTGGAACAAGGAATTATCCATGTGAGTTCTTGTGTTGACACCCCTCAACAAAATGGGGTAGCCGAGAGGAAAAACAGACACTTACTTGAGGTAGCTAGATCACTCATGTTTACCAACCATGTACCTAAACACTTATGGGGGGAAGCCATTCTTACTGCCATATATCTTATCAATTGGATGCCGAGTCGAGTGCTACAATTTCAGAGACCCCGCCAAGTCCTACTACAAGCCTTTCCTCATGCCAAATCCTTTACTTCCGATCTCCCACTTAGAATCTTTGGTTGTTCCTCATTTGTTCACATACACCAACAACATCGAACCAAACTTGATCCCAAATCATTAAAATGCATTTTCCTAGGATATTCCTCTCATCAAAAGGGGTACAAGTGCTACTCACCTGTCACTAGAAAGACATACAATTCCATGGATGTCACATTCTTTGAACACCAATCTTATTTTCCCAAACCTGCAATTCAGGGGGAGAATTCGAGGGAATTTCAGCTTTGGGACATCCTTCGAGACACTCAATCCATGTACATTTCACCCCAAAGTGTCAGTCCAGCCTCCTTACCCTCTTCCGAGTCCTCAAATCCAAGTCTCAACTCCTCTTCCGAGTCCTCAAATCCGAGTCTCAGATCCACATCAGGTCCACTATCCGAGTCTCAGTTCCATGAGCCATCCAACTTCCCGAATCACACCACTCAGAATGATCTAACCGAGTCCACCCAACCTCAACTTGGTACAAATTGTTAGGAACTCCGTGTCTATTCTGGGAGGAGATGACCTACTGAGCACTTAGAGAACATCACTCAAGTCCGAGACTGTCAAGAACCTAAACCGGACCCTCCTGCTTCAGAATCTCACAAAGGTATGTATTCTTCAACCCGTGAGCCTCCTGTTCCTTTTATTGATGATTCTGCCTTGCCTGTTGCTGAAAGAAAGGGTGTCCGAGTATGTACAAACCACCCTATTAGGAGATATGTGGCATATGGAAAATTGCTGCCATCATATAAAGCATTTATTTCAGCTCTTGATAGTGTACAGATTCCTAATTCCATTCAGGAAGCTTTGAAAGATCCAGCATGGAAGCAGGCTGTCGAGGAAGAAATCAGAGCCCTAAAAAGCAATGAAACCTGGACTCTTGCAGAGTTACCTCAAGGGAAGAAGCCTGTGGGTTGCAAGTGGATATTTACTGTTAAGTATAAAGCAGATGGAAGTATTGAGAGGTTCAAAGCCAGGCTGGTCGCAAAGGGATTCACTCAATCATATGGAATTGATTATCAGGAAACGTTCGTACCTGTTGCCAAGTTGAACACGGTTCGTGTATTGTTGTCACTAGCAGTAAATAAAGACTGGCCTTTGCACCAGCTAGATGTCAAGAATGCTTTTCTGAATGGGGATCTTGCAGAGGATGTTTACATGGAAATACCACCAGCCCTAGAAAACCCTTCAAACAGCCGTCAAGTGTGCAAGCTGAAAAAGTCATTGTATGGCCTAAAGCAGTCACCTCGTGCCTGGTTTGATAGGTTTGCCAAAACAGTGGTCACAAATGGGTACAGTCAATGCCAGGCCGATCACACTCTATTTATGAAATTCTCACCAAGAGGCAGGATTGCTATTCTCATCGTTTACGTTGATGACATCATTTCAACAGGAGACGACTCAGAGGAAATTATCAAACTCAAAAGCTTACTTGCTACTTAGTTTGAAATTAAAGACCTTGGTACTCTAAGATACTTTCTAGGCATGGAGGTTGCTCGGTCTAAGGCAGGGATTGTTATATCCCAACGAAAGTACATCTTAGATTTGCTAACAGAGATTGGCATGCTTGGGTGTAAACCTGCAGAGACGCCTATGGACCCCAACCTGAAGTTAAGGAAAGATGAGGAAAGTGTTCCGGTGGATAAAGGACAGTATCAAAGGCTAGTGGGCAAGTTGATTTATCTATCACACACGATACCAGACATTGCATTCTCAGTGAGCGTGGTTAGCCAACACATGAACAATCCAAATGAGGAACACTTAGAGGCTGTGAATCGAATTCTTAGATACCTAAAGATGACACCAGGCCACGGTTTACTCTTCAAAAGGTGTGAAAGCCGTAAGATAGAGGTTTACACAGATGCTAGCTGGGCTGGAGAACTAACTGAAAGGAGATCCACAAGTGGTTATTGCTCCTTTGTTTGGGGCAATCTTGTTACTTGGAGAAGCAAAAAGCAATCAGTGGTGTCAAGAAGCAGTGCAGAGTCAGAATATCGTGCTCTTGCTTTGGGCATCTGCAAAGGAATGTGGCTTCAAAGATTACTAAGGGAGTTGAGAATTGATTGTAAGGACCAGATTAAAATGCTTAGTGACAGCCAAGCCGCCATCAGCATTGCTAAAAATCCAGTACACCACGACAGGACCAAGCATGTGGAGATTGATTGGCACTTCATCTCAGAGAAGATCAACAATGGAATAGTTCAACTCAACTACATCCCTACACAATTGCAGCTGGCTGACGTTCTCACCAAAGCCCTTCCAAGAAGAAGTTTCGATGAATTCAACTCCAAGCTAGGATTGTATAACATATACAACCCAACTTGAGGGGGAGTGTAGAAAGGAGCCGATTCGGTTATATAAATTAGGATAGTGTTATTTTTGTAAATTAGGATTTCTGATTTAGTTTCCTAATAAATAGGATCAGTTATTGAATTGATTGATTCATAATTTAGTTACTTTCCTAGTTTGTTGAAATTCCTAATTTTGTGGGATTCTCCGTTTACTTTCCTAGAATAAGTGGACTGGGATGCCGGCCACTCAAGTATAAATATTAGGGCTGTATTTCCTTTGGTTAATAAGAATTTCTCTTCACCAAAATTCTCATTTAACAGCTTAAGCTTTTGGGATGGATTGGTAAACTAACATGGTATCAGAGCGGGAGGTCTTGAGTTCAAACCCCATTTATTAACCTTTTTTTTTTTTTTTAATAAGAAACAAAGGAACTTCAGTGAATAAAAATATATTACAAAAGAAGTTTCAGGAGGACGAAAATCCATCAAAAACAAAAAATAAAGACAAAAATCAAAAGACTGATAGCATCATAATACACGATTGGGCTTAATTACAAGTACTAATAAACTTATATGAGTATGAAACGAGTAAAAGAGGTGAATTTAGTTCAACTTTCAATTTCCTCTAGTGATTATTCAAGAGCTTAAAATTAATTTCTCGCAAGTCTTATATGTATTTGCATATAGTGGAGGCTCAATATTTTGTCAACGGGCACTATGGCAAAAATGAGATATATGTATATATTTTGTTATTAGATAGGGATATAGTTATAAATTTAATTATTGAATGGGGCACAAATAGAAATTTTCTTATAATACAAGGGCACAACTAAAATTTTCCCCAAAAATTAGGTGCACACATTAAAATTTCAGAAGTTGACAACATGCCCCCACTCAACTATGAGTGGCTTCACCAGTGTTGGCATATGAGTCTTTAACTGCTTCCCATCTTTTGTAGGGAAAAATCAAGTGATATCAATTCATTGCTTCATGTTATGCAAAACTTTTGGTTGACCGTTGGCTAAACTTCTATTTTATTTTTCTTCGTTTCTTTCCTCTTCTTTTTTGTTAATTTCAGCCAAGTTTTTGAAGTTAGAGCAGTTGGAACAAGATCTGAGTTATCCTGCAGAGACAACCGGAGTTTCTGTTGATGGTACTGGTCAAGTTGGTACCTATTTTTATACAGCACCTGAAATTGAGCAAGGATGGCCAAAGATTGATGAAAAGGTGAATGTTTCTTTGAATTTTTTTTATGCTTTTGTTTCGCCCACCAGGATGGCATGTGCTCCATCTTTTGATGTCTTATAATTTGCTTATTCAAAAGTGGCACATAAATATTTGGAGAATGGGACTTGCAGGCTGATATGTACAGCTTAGGAATTGTTTTCTTTGAGCTATGGCACCCCTTTGGAACTGCAATGGAAAGACACGTTGTCCTATCTGATTTGAAACAGAAAGGAGAGCTGCCATCTGCGTGGGTTGCTGAATTTCCAGAACAGGCGTCTTTGTTGCGACGCTTAATGTCTCCAAGTCCCTCTGACCGTCCTTCTGCTGCAGAGCTCCTGCACCATGCATTCCCTCCACGGATGGAATCTGAGTTGTTAGACAGTAAGTGATATGGAGCTTTTACTTACTATAACTTGGAACAGCAACATTAACTTGGCTTCACCAAATGAATTGAATTGCTTAGTAGTGAATGCGGTGCTCAAAGTAGGTCTCAAAACAATAACAAATTGGCTGAAACTTTTGTTGACACCAAGGTTCATCTTGGCATGAGGGCTATAGATAGGTCCTTGTTATTATAGGCCTATTTGGTAGTGCTTCCCGGAAGCTTCTTTTGACTTCCTGAGTCCAAAAGTTGCTTCCAAGAGTGTTTGGATGACCTAGAAAAGCTTTTAGTCAATAGATTTTGTGCCTTTCATATTTTTAATGGAGCTACACCACCAATCACATATATTTTCATTACAATAAACTAGATTCATGGCCCGGGGAAAGGGTAAAAAGAAATGTTGGATGAAGGTTTGAGAGAGAACAAAAAGTGGATGGAAGTTAGGATACAATAATGTATACCGAAGCTGCAAACTTGAAGTTTAATTTTTTTTCTCTGAGTAAAAATGAAGGATAAAAGGTTGACTGTTGCCTTTAGCCCATTAAGAACGAAAAGGTGGGCCTTTTTTTCCCCATTTTGAAAGCTGGTGATCTTTCTTTAACTTTTGTACTGGAGATAATAAAAACTAAATAGTAATTATATTATTCTACAACTATGCATAGTAGTATAACTATATTTGTACGCGTGTGTGTGTATATATATATATATATATTAAATAACTATGGATTCAGTGAAATCTTTTCATTTTGAATGAAGTTTTTTTCCTATAAAAAAAAAAAAAAAAAAAAAAAAAAAAACCTATGGCTTCAGCTGGAGTATTTCTTGTTTCTGTTTTTTCAGGGACAGCTTTTTTCTAATCCTTTTCCTGGACTACTATAATCTTCTTTAAATTCTGAATAATTGAACATGAGTGAATATGAAAGATGCATCTAGATTTAACTTATGGTACGTGATCAGTGATACTTGACAGGACATTTTTTTGGAATGATTCATGATTTGACAACTTTGTCTATCCTCTCTGACCCTATCATATTCTTTATGTAAAAATTCAAAGATTACCCTGTTTTCATTTTAATAGAATCGAAGAACATTTTATAGATTTCCTGTCACTTCTACTTCTCATAGGCTTTTGTATGTGGTTATTTTTCTTCACTAGAATTTCTTTTCTTTTTTTTCTTCTCATCACGGAACAAAATTGTAATTCATTTTTGTGCAGCTTCTGAGCTGTATGTAGTAGGTGATTGGAGTTCGGTAACTGTGTTCAATAGAGTTATTTCTGAGCCTCTCTAAGTGAGTTTCTCTTGTATTTTGCAGATATTCTACGTACTATGCAGACTTCGGAGGACTCCAATATATATGATAAAGTTGTTAATGCTATTTTTGACGAAGAGGTATTAAGCATAAAAGATCAGCATAATCATACTGGTAGATTTAGGTTGCCAGGAGGTGGTACTTCTGCCATTCAGTATGCTGAGTTGGACACTGAGATTCGTGACTATGTTACTGAAATCTCAAATGAGGTTTTCAGAAAGCATTGTGCAAGGCATTTGGAAATAATTTCCATGCGTTTGTCGGATGATTGCCCACAGTTCAATAGGTTAAATATTTTACCGAATTCCTTATATTCAAATTTGCTATTGTTCTTCTTGCATCATCTGTAAAATGTAAATGCTAGTTCTTTCTTGCTGAATGTGTTTACTAATGATGAGAAGGAACACTGTCAAACTTTTGAGCCATGGAGGAGATATGCTTGAACTTTGTCATGAGCTGCGTTTACCTTTTGTCAGTTGGGTGATCTACAGTCAGGTACTGCGTATACTTAAATTACTACAACAGTAGAACTTATCTTTTTATTGTCGCATTGTTTTGTTGTACTTATAAAATTACCACTATGCGTGTGTGTGTTTTGTGCTGAAAAGCAGCAGGTAATTAGTTGACGTAGAAGCCTAAGACCTCTTGGTCTAGTGGCACTGAGGGTTTGGGTGTGGTGGGATTTAGGTGGGGGGTTGCGGGTTCAATCCCGTGTTGTATTAAAAAAAAAAAGCATAGAGAATAAATAAATGGAGATGGAGTACATAAAGTTATTGATTATTTGCGGAGGAAAAAGCTTTGCAACTTGTTACGTTTGTGTCTCTCCAATAAGAAGTTGTAACTCTCTTTCAAGTCAACTTGTTTAATTCAAAAATCAAGTTTCTCTCATGTCATCTTTTAATCCTCAGTTTCTTTTGTGACTCTCTCTTGAAGTGTAACAATACATTCGATATTCGACTTTTTTGGCTTGTACTTGTAATTTTGTGTAATTTAAGAGACTAAGAAAATATAGCTGGGAATTGGTGAAGTTTGTGTAGTAATTTTGTCTAGCTTAGGATTGACCATAGATGTTGCGATTCTAAACAGTAACCATTTTTGGTAACCATTCTGGTGGTCCTTCAACCTCTGGGAGTAGCCTAGAGGTCTTTATCAAGAAATCTGATTTTTGCTCTTTAATTGTTTTTATGGTGTCAGTACATTTTCCCAGTAGTTGTACAACACAATCCTGTATGGTAGTATGAAAGTTCATAAGCTTTCCTTTGAGCTCTTGAGCTATTTGTACCTGTTCTTTGTCAATTGCTGAATTCTGAAAGTTTGTTCAATTCCTTTGCCACACATCCCATTTTTCTTTGCAGAAATCTTCATTCAAAAGATTCGAAATTTCATGCGTTTATAGAAGAGCAATTGGGCATTCACCACCAAATCGCTATCTTCAGGTATATGCTACAACCTTCCTTTGCTTAAACCTTTTATTTTCCCTTCTGAAACATAGACACATTTTTTTTAATGGAAAGAATATGTACATGTATCAAGGAGAAAAAGTTTCCTCCAAATAACAAGTGAAAACACTATAAAGCTGAGACTCAATCTTGAATAGTATAAGGAAAGAGTAAGCCTTTAAATTCCTTATCCTGATGGATCCAAAGGGCTACCCAGTATTTAATCTTATCCAAACAACCCCACACTCTTTTTCGCACCCAACAAAAGGTCTATGGTTTCTTTAAACCACACTCCTCACAGACCTGTCACCATGTCTAATCTTTATTTCTGAAGGAGTTTGGCTTCTCATGGGTAACACCTAGGAACTGTTCAAAGATACTTGAAATCCACCCCGCCCGCCCAATTAGTCTTACCTGGTAGAAGTTTGTGGAAGGTTTCTACAGTTTTTTGGGGCATCTAGTTAGAAAGGAATAGCGTAATTTTCAAAGGAAGCAGGAAGATAGCTGTGTTTTATGGGATAAGGTAAAGTATTGGGTCTCTACTTGTGTATACAGAGATAACGAGTTTGATAGGTCAGTTATTTCAGAATTGGTTGGGAACTGAGCACCATTTTTGTAGTCCTTTTCTTTTTCTTTCTTTCTTTCTTTTCTTTTTTCTTTTTTTTTTTTTTTTTTTTTTTTTTTTTTTTTTTTTTTTTTTTTTTTTGTCATGGCTTTGTTTCTTGTTTTCTGTCAGCTTTTTGGCTGTTAGAAAAACTTTTCCTCTCCTTGTATTTTCTTTCTTTCATTAATAAAGTTCCTTGTTTCTTTTCAAGGAAAAAAAAAAAAAAAAAAAAAAAAAAAAAAAAAAAAAAAAAAAAACCTAGAAGAATAAAATTGAACCACACTCCCCACAAGAGTACGAGTACTGCCACCTTCCATTAGAAGTTTTCTTCTGTTGCCTGACCTGTACCAGGGGAAAGAATTGCAAAGTGCTTTATTGGAATGCTATATGCTTGAAATTACCGTGGCATTATTCTTTATTTATCTGAATAATGCTAATCCTATACAGAATTTCTTCTCTTCACAATGCTTCAATTTTTGCTTTTTTCTCTCCAGACCCCCTGTGGGTAATCCTTCTTGGAATTTCCATTTCAGGAGAGATCCTAGTGAGAGAGAATTGGGTGAGTTGGCAGAGCTTTTGACTTGTTTAGAGGGAGTTAGATTAAGTGAATTTACTGCTGATAGATGGTCGTGGGAGTTGGATAGTTCAGGACTTTTCTCTTGCAAATCTCTATTCAAGTCCTTTATTGATGATAGTGCTTACCCCAGTTTTAGTTTGTGTCATTTTATTTGGAAAACCTCGGTCCCTACCAAAGTTCAGATTTTTAATTGGCTGCTTGTGTTAAGGAAGCTCAACCCTCAGGATTTGTTGCAGAGGAGGAAGCCTTACCTTTATCTCTCCCCTGGGTGGTGTTCTTTGTAAAAATGCTGAAGAGAGAACATATCTTTTATTCCTCCATTGCTCTTTCGCATTGAATATTTGGTACCGTGTTCTGCATGAGTTCGGGTTGGTGTGGGTTCCCCCAAATAGCATCGTGGAGCTTTTTGGTAGTGATTTGTTGCCAGAAAGGACTACTCCGAAGAGAAGGCTTTGGAACACAGTTGTTCTTGTAGTCACTTGGTCTTTGTGGCTCGAAAGAAACTATCGAATCTTTGAAGACACACAAGGAGCCAGTAGTGATTTTTGGGATAGGATTAAGTATTGGGTGGCTTTGTGGATTTTCCATTCTAAAGGTTTTACTAGTTTATGTTTCTCAGATCTACTTAGGGGGTGGGATGGTATATTTCTTTAAGCCTTTCTGTGGATTCTGGTTTAGTAAAAAAAGTAGATCTTTAGGCTTGTTTTCTGTGGTTTGTAGTTTTTGTGTTTTCTTGGTAGACCGCTTGTCCCCTTTTGTATTTGCTTTCTTTTTTATTTAATACAAGTTACCCGTTTCTTATTAAAAAAAATATATTTATTTATCTGAATATTCAATTAAAGTCTACGCCCTTATTAGACAGTATTCTTCTTTACAGGGTGATTTTGATATTATTGGGGGCGCATCTGCAATTACCGAGGCAGAGATTATCAAGGTGCTATAATCTTCTTTTCATTCTTCTCCTCTCTTGCCTAGCAATCTGTTGTATTCTTCCCAGGAGAATGCCGTTAGGTTTTGAGCATAATTCAGTCTCAAAGCTGTTGATTAGCTACTTGAGCTGACTGAAATTTGAGAACTTGCAGAACTTTTATTTAGGAATAATGATCCAATCTCGGTATAAAGGGTTTGTCCTAGAAAACCATTTTTTCAACTTTTAGGTCGACTTTATTTCATTTGTAGCCCTCATTTTTAATTCTCCTGGAACACTAAACTCTATCGTATTGATTTCATTTTTGTCTATGAACTTGTTTTGTAATAGATTTCTTAATAGGAAACAATAGTGCTAAGGTTTTTTGAAACAAGTTTAACTTGTATGGCAGTAAAGATATTTTGGAAACATATTTTTGAAAATGGCTAAATATTTTGGATATGCAGCAAATGGTACAATTTGCTATTGAGTCTGGTCTCTAAGAAGTACTGGGTCAGGTTTACCTCTACCTGAAGGTAAAAAATGTATTAAAAATGTTGAATATAGTCTTAGCTTGCAATATCTTTGGCTAGGTCACATGTATATTCTCTCTCTCTCTCTCTCTCAAGAAATTTACTCTTTTTTTTTTTTTTTTTTTTTGAGAATAGAATGTGTTATTATTATTAATAAGGATAAGCGTCAGTTACAATAACAGATGCTGTAAGTGTTAGAGTTTCCTCCGACTAAATTAGCTTATCATCTTTATTAAAAGCATGAGTAGCCAAAAAAAAAGGTAGCTTTATCTGCTTCCTTTTACCCATGGCATAACTTAGCTCCTGGAAAAACAGATAATAAGCTAGATAACAATAACACTCCAAACTCATTAAAATAGGAAGAAAAATTCTTCACAGCTTCGATGATTGCCAATGCATCAGTCTCTAGAAACGGGAGAGTTAGAACAACATAGTCCAAGTATCCTTCAAGACGATGCAACCATCACAAAACCTGGGAATAAGAAATGGACTTTTATTTAACGAACAAGTACAATAAAGTGGACATGGGGTCCACAACAAACAAAAATAAAGGAAAGCGAACAAAAACTGAGGTTCAGTAACTGAAACCTTATATCTTTGTTCCCGTGGTTGTGGTAATGGATCTATCTCTATGTACTGCGTTTTCGACTTTGTGTATTATTCTGATTTACAGGTTACAATGGACATTTTAATTCATTTTCTCAATCCGCATTGTTGTGAGCTCCATTTAAATCATGGGAATCTACTGGAATCAATATGGTCTTGGACAGGAGTTAAGGCAGAGCACAGACACAAAGTAGCTGAGGTACATCAATATACTTGTGTGTCATTTTCATCAAAACATGTAGAGTTTGAGCTAATTGATGCTCACATTTTTGAGTTAAGCTTCTTTCCATGATGGACTCGTTGCGTCCTCAATCCACTGAACGGAAATCAAAATGGGTGGTAATAAGGCGTCAGCTTTTACAGGCAAGTAACTCTTAAACTAAATTGAATACACTGATCTTGCTGACGCCTTTTTTAAGGTCATTTACTGAAATTTTAGTCATGTACTAATAATAATAATAACAAATCCAGATATTGGCCTAGTATGGTTCTATTTCTGTGTTAAAGAATTCTAAAACCAGCAGAGTTTTTTAGTTGCCTAGATGCCTAGATTTTTTTTCCATTTGTATTTGTCTTACACTGCCTATGTTTTTTTGCTTTGTGGATGAAAATCAATTATTAATTGGGTAATTTCCAAAACAAAGGAATAGCACTGGAATTATACTTGTGGTATAATCTTGATCCGTCATTGAATGCAATCATTTCATAGCTGCCTAAGTTACCATGAGTTCTATGTCAAGTTACCATGAGTTCTATGTCATAATTGGGTAATTTCCAAAACAAAGGAATAGCACTGGAATTATACTTGTGGTATAATCTTGATCTGTCATTGAATGCAATCATTTCATAGCTGCCTAAGTTACCATGAGTTCTATGTCAAGTTACCATGAGTTCTATGTCATACACTGACCAGCAGGGCTATTGCTGACCTGTTCTTAAAGAATTTCTTCTGAGACATTGGACGTATGAGCTTATTAGCATTTGTTATTGATTAGGTTTTTTTTTTTTTTTTTTTTTTTTTTTTTTTTTTTTTTTTTTTTCTCTTTATTTGCATTTTCTTCTTCTTCCTCTCCTTTTTTTTTTTTTTTGTTTTTTGTTTTTGTTTTTGTTTTAGTTGTTGTTGCTGTTGTTGTTGTTTTTGTTTTGTTGTTGTTGATGTTGTTCTTGTTGTTTTTTTATTTTTTTTATTTTATTTTTTTTATAGAGAAACTTAAAAAAATTGTTTGAGGACTGTACAAGGAATATTAGGAACATGATGTCCTAGTACATCAAAGTATAAACTACACTGCAGCCCTTTAGTCTAAACCTTTTTTTCCTACTCTTGAACCTCGTATCTGCTGAATAATAAAAAAGGCAGAACTTGTTAGTGATTATGTTTGCATGTTTTATGGAGATGTATAACATTAATTAGATATATTTATATGTCTTGCTTGATTTTATTCATCTTCCAGGAACTTAATTTACCAGAAGCTGTTGTAAATAGGTTACAGACTGTTGGTTTAAGATTCTGTGGGCCTGCAGATCAGGCACTTCCTAGATTGAGGGGAGCGCTTCCATCTGGTACTGCTGTAACCAATTATTATTTAATTATACAATGTATATAGGTAATAAGGTTCTTTTCTTCAATCTTGTTACAGATAAAGCCACTCGCAAGGCACTTGATGAGCTTTCAGATCTCTGTAGCTACTTGAGAGTTTGGAGGATTGAAAGACATGTTTATATTGATCCACTGATGCCACCAACTGAGATTTATCATAGAGAATTGTTCTTTCAGGTACTTACGAGTTGTTTACCTTTTCTTGTTATAGGGCTCTTCCTCGTTTGGAAATTCTATGAGATGTTGGTACTTTGCATCTATTGGCAGTAATGGCATCCTGTGCTGATTTAAAACTCTTCCACTCGGGACAATAGTAAACCAAAGTCCAAACTTCTGCATTCGCTTGAATTAAGTGCAGAAACACTGTTTGACAATGAACTAGGTTGCAGTAGGATTCTGATTTGAACTGTCTTGGTTCCCATAATATGGGAACACTGGTCATTATCGAAACAGTTCCTAAACAAATGCATATTTCATGTTAATTCTTTTAGTGTAGAGTGTCTTCTCTCTGCTATCAATTTAGCATCCATTATGCAGGTATGAGGGTTGTAGACTTGTGGCCCATGGGAAAAGGCCGATACAGTACGTATAGACATGTGTCTTGCCTGGCTCTTGTGAAAATCTTGTAGTATGGTCACATAGCAAGTACCAACCAGTTAGCATTTTATGTAGCATTAAAGTTTATGCTGTCTATTTCCTACTGGATTTGTACCGACTTGCAGTTTTTTTTTTTTTTTTTTTTTTTTTTTTTTTTTTTTTTTTTTTCTTGTAGTGTTTTTATTTTTTTAACTTTGCGGGTAGAGTATCTTAGAAACAATTTTGACAGGGTTTGCCTTGAAACTCTAATTTTAAAATAGATGAATTGAGTTATTGGAAGCCACTTGTCAATGATCCAACCTTGTTTATACTTATTTATTCTCATGACGTACATTCTTCATGCTTAAAACTGATTCATATATAAGATATTGCTCTCAAAGATTTGGTAGGTAGTTTGTTTGGCAACAAAATTTAAGACAAAATTGGTACTTCTTGCTCAGGTGTACCTGATGAAGGAAAACCTTTCTGGGACACTTGTTGATGGTATATTGCTTGCTATTGGAGGTCGCTATGACTATTTGCTTCATCAAATGTGGGTTCAGGAACATGTAAGTTTCAATTGTGTGTGTGTGTGTGTGTGTGTGTGTCGGTGGGTGAAGTTTTGATTTCCAATGACATCCTTCCAATGTAATACAATTTTAATAATTTATTTTCTTTGTTTAGCTTTTCCTTCTGTTCTCTCTAACCCCCCCCTCTCTCTGTTTTTTTTTTTTTTTTTTTTTTTTTTTTTAAAATTTTTTTTCTTTCTCCTTTTTTATAAAACTCTCTTTTTTTTTTTTTTTTTTTTTTTTGTTTGAAGAATTTCTCATCTTCCTCCTTTTACATATATAGATAAGTAGTTGTACTGCTCATGGAAAATTAAATAACCCTCTATATTTTGTGTAATCTCGTGCAGTTATCTCTTGCAGCTCTTATTATTTTCTCAGAGCTCTTGTTTTCTTTTTAAATATTTTTGGTTTCTATATATTTTTCTAGAAATGCATGTTATTGTTTTAAATGACATTACTGCTATTTTTTGATATCAGAAATCACATGCTCCAGGAGGTGTAGGGACCAGTCTTGCCTTGGAGACTATAATACAACATTCTCTTGTAGATCTGAAACCTATTCGGTACACAAAATTTCTTCTTTCTCCTTTGCTTTCTCAATTTGCCACTAGATTCTTAACCCTTTAGTTCTCTTTCTCATCGACATAATTTCACAACTTAATACATTCTAACTGCTGCAGAAATGACGACAGTGTTAGTATTCTCGTTTGTTCAAGAGGTGGTGGTGGCCTATTGGAAGAGTGGATGGAATTAGTTGCTGAGCTGTGGGAGGAAAACATTAAGGTTCAAGATGGGAATATCTGATGAAAATTAGCTGCAATACTATGTTGATCTAATTCTTTCGTTGTGCTAATTAGTTGTCCATGTTAAGCAGGCAGAGTTTGTTCCGAAACCCGATCCAAGCCTTACAGAACAATATGAATATGCAAGTGAGCATGATATAAAATGTCTTGTCATAATAAGAGACACTGGTGTGGCTCATATGGGTTCTGTTAAGGTAATTATTTTCTTTCTCATTTTCTCTCTTTTTTTTCTTTCTAAATAATATAATGGTGGCATGAATTTTAAAAATTTTGCATGCCTAAATGCTAATACTTTTTATGCAACTGAAGCCGGGTATTTTGTTTTGTCAAAAACGTTAATTCTCTCCATCACTCTTGTCTTAAAAAATCTTTGCGAATCCTTTAAAAACCCTTGAGTATTGAAAATCACTGTGCTTTTTCACATAACTTTAGCATATCTTATTATATCCAAAACCTATTGATTTTTCTAGCAACAAACAAAGAAGTGCATTATGCAGGGAACACCCAAAGGAATCATCTTTATTCAACAATTAAATCCATAAAATTCTGGCCAACATAGCGATGTAGAAATAGATGCTCAAGTGTTCCCTCTGCCTCGTTACGCATAACACACTTGAAAGGATGCTTTCTTTGGACCCTTTCCCAAGTGTTTAACTTTATATATATATAGCCAAGCAAACACCTTAATCATATAATTGGACACAAGATTCCAAATAAAATTAAAAGGCTCAAATTTGAGTTTCCTCTTTATCAAAAGAGAAGAAAAAGAAAGATTTGCCTTGGAGAGTTCCAAATACCAAAATTCGAGAACTCAAAATCTTTCACCTCTCAATCATTTAAACTAGGTATCAATTCAAATCTTTCACCTTATCCTCTGCCCTTGTTATTTCTCTTGGGTTAGAGGATACCTTATCCTCTACCCTTGTTGTGGGAAAATAGGAGAAGAAAAATATTTCTTATTCACTGAATTATCTATACAGCCGGCCCTCTTAGGGTTTTATACACAAAAATAGAATCTCCTAGATTACACCTTATCTCAATATTTATGGGATATCAGAAAACTAATTGATTACCCTAATCCTAGGGATACAAAATATAAAATTCAAAAACTTTCCTAATATATCCTATTTACAAAATCAATAGATTGCGTTTTCCACACTCCCCCTCAAGTTGGTGAATAGGTGTTCACCATTCCCAACTTGGACACAAGATTCTGAAACACTGAACTACTAAGTCCTTTCGTGAGTACATCAGCAAGTTGACCCTGTGTAGATACATAGGGTGTACAAATCAGGCCACTATCTAGCTTCTCTTGATGAAGTGTTTGTCGATTTCAATGTGCTTTGTTCTATCGTGCTGTATTGGGTTGTGAGCTATGTTGATTGTAGATTTGTTGTCACAGTAGAGTCTCATTGGGCCATCCCACCTAATTTTCAAGTCTTCTAAAATAATCTTCAACCATAGCAATTCACACACACCTTGAGCCATCGCTCGGAATTCGGCCTCTGCACTATAACGAGCTACAACATTCTGTTTCTTGTTCCTCCACGTCACAAGGTTTCCACCAATAAAAGTGCAATAACCGGAAGTTGACTGTCTGTCTACCACTGACCCAGCATAGTTTGCATCTGTATACGCTTCAAGCACTACTCCTCCATTCCTTTTGAACAAAATACCTCTACCTAGTGTCCCTTTGAGATAATGCAATACTCGGTATGCTGCATATGCGCCTCCTTTGGATTATGCATGAATTGACTAATCACACTTACCGCGTATGCTATATCTGGCCTAGTATGAGATAGATAGATAAGTCTCCCCACCAAGCGTTGATACATCTCTCTATTCACTGCGACATCTTCTTCCGCTTCTCCGAGCTTCAAATTTGGATCTATTGGAGTGCTCGCCGTCTTGCACGTGGTCTTCCCGGTTTCTTTGAGAAGATCTGTAACATATTTCTGTTGTGAGATGAAAATACCTTGCTTGGAATGAGCCACCTCGATTCCCAGAAAATACTTCAGCCTCCCTAGCATCTTAATCTCAAATTCTTTAGCTAAACATCGACTGAGACGCTGCCTTTCCTCATCATCATCTCCCGTCACTATTATGTCGTCAACATATACTAAAAGGACTGTAACTCCCCTTAAAGATGAGTGTTTGACAAACAGTGTATGGTCTCCTTGACTTTGCCGATATCCCATAGCTGTCATTACCTTTGCAAATCTTCCAAACCATGCTCACGGCGATTGCTTAAGTCCATACAAGGCCTTCTTCAATCTACATATTGTGTGTGCAGCTAAGTTATGACCATAACCCGGTGGAACCTCCATGTAGATTTCTTCCTCTAGTTCTCCATGCAAAAACGCATTCTTGACTTCAAACTGTTGTAGCTCCCAATTATAATTGGCTGCTAATGAACAAAACTCTTACCGTATTCATTTTAGCCACTGGAGCGAATGTCTCTTGGTAATCAATCCCATAGGTCTGGGTATACCCCTTAGCAACCAACCTCGCCTTGTATCTTTCTATTGAACCGTTTGCCCTATATTTCATGGTGTAAACCCATTTACATCCCATTGCTTTCTTCCCTTTAGGCAATTTCACAAGCTCCCAAGTTTTGTTCTTCTCCAATGCTTCCATCTCCATATTCATAGCCTGTCTCCATTTTTCATCAGTTAAAGCCTCAGACAAATTGGTAGGGATGACAATAGTATTTAGGCTGACAAGAAAGGCTTGATGGGATGGTGAGAATTTTTCAAGGAAAAGAAATTGTGCAAGTGGGTATAGAGGTCGACTTACACATTCTCTAACTCCTTTTCTAATGGCAATGGGATGATCCTAATCATCATTATTCATGTAGGTTTTAGAAAAAGGATTAGAAATTGTTACCTCATTTCTAGAGCTCGGGTTGGAGTCTTGAACTTGCACAGATTCCGGGATAGCCTTCTTCCTTCTTGAAAACACTTTGCCTTGGCCAAATCTTACATTCTCAAGGGCAGAATTTAGGTTGTCAGGCTCGGGTTTAGGCTCGGGTTCAGTGGAGTGAGGCTCGGGAACAGGAGAGTGAGGATGGGGAAACTCGGGTTTTGATGGATGAAGATCAAGAGATAGAAAACCCCCCTTGTCCTTATCTTCCACTATTGAATTCTCCCCCTGAAGATAAGGATCATTGAAATAGGATTTATTTTCATGGAAAGTAACATCAACCGAGACATAGAACCTTTTTGAGGGAGGATGGTAACACTTGTATCCTTTTTGAGGGAGGATGGTAACACTTGTATCCTTTCTGAGTAGAAGAATAGCCCACAAACACATTTGACTGCCCTTGGATCTAATTTCCCCCTGTTTGGAGTATGGATATGGACAAATGCCACACACCCGAATATCCTAGGAACCAGATTATTCGTAGTGCGTAGATTTGGATAGAATGAGGAAAGTACGTCCATTGGACTTTTGAAACCCAAAATCCTAGAAGGCGAACGATTTATAAGATGTGTAGATGTAAGAACTGCTTCCCCCCAAAGGGATTTAGGCACATTTTTCTGGAACATAAAGGATCGGGTGGAATCGAGAAGATGACCATTTTTCCTTTCCGCCACTCCATTTTGTTGTGGAGTATTAACACATGATGATTCATGGATGATTCGTTCCTTTTGGAAATATGGAGTGAGGACTTGATTGAAATAGTCCCTAGCATTGTCTGATTTGAATCTCTTGATATTGACCCCAAATTGAGTCTTTACCATAGAGCAAAAATTTGGAAGGACATTACTGACATTGGATTTCTGTTTAAGCAAAAATATCCAAGTGACTCGAGTACATTCATCAATAAATGAGACAAACCATTTTGCCCCTGTCACATTAGGAATAGTAGAAGGGCCCCAAATATCAGTATGAATGAGATAAAAAAGAATATAGGTTTTTTTATTACTGATTGGAAAAGGTACACGTTTGTGTTTAGCTAGTTCACACACTTCACAATGAAAATGTTTAATATCTAGACCTCTAAATAAGGAAGGAAACATAATTTTGATAATCCTAAACGATGGATGGCCAAGTCTGGGGTAGTGAAGCCAAATTTTTCCTTTATTTGATGAGAGAACCTCTGAGACAAAAGAGTGAGATGTTGTGCCCTTGGTAATGCTTGATTGACTAGGTGTTTCAAGAAGGTAGAGTCCATCCGTTCTCTAGCACGTCCAATCGTCCTCCCCGAACCCTCGTCATGAAATAAACAATCACTATGGTGAAAAAACACTCTGCAATGTGAATCTTTGGTAAGCTTTTGGACAGAAACAAGGTTTGTGGTCAATCGAGGAACATGGAGAACATTTTTTAATGTCAATGATGGGCTTATTTTAACATCTCCTATGCCTGCTACAGTAGTTAATGATCCATCTACGGTAGTTATTTTTCTATTGCTTGAACATGGGGTATATGAGGCAAACATGTTTGGTGAGTGGGTCATATGGTTGGTAGCACCGGAATCAATGACCCATGAGCCATCTGAGACATTTAATCTAATGGAAAATAAACTCACCTAAATACGCCAATGAACAAGTACCTGACGGTTTGTCGAGATTGCCTATAAGGGATCTTACTCGTTCGATTTCCTCTTGGCTGAGACTCCCCATCTCTTGCAGTGTTCCCTCACTTTGTTGCCCCGCTGCAACATGAGCTTGTCCATTTTCGGCTGCTCTCCTTTCTGCCCCCACTCGCGGCTTGGTGGTTTCCCATGCAGCTTCCAATACTTCTCACGGGTATGGCGTGCCTTCTTGCAATAAGTACACCATAAAGTATCTTTGTAGTCTCGGTTTTGGGTCTTCTGCTGACCAGCCTTGACATTCTCAAGTGCCGGTGCCTTTTCTGCAATCATGGCTAGTTTGCTACCGCCACTAGCCAACATTGCCGAGCCATCAGTGTTCTTTGGTTCAAGCATTATTTCTCTTCTACTCTCTTCTCCCCGAATGATTGCCACCACCTCATTGAAACATGGGACCTCTTGCTTTCCAAGAATCTGAATTCTCACCAAGTCAAACTCCGGGTTGAGTCTAACAAGAAAATCATAGACTCTATCTTGCTCAATAAAGTCCTTGATAATTGCAGCATCTTCGGGACACTTGGTTTTAATCACCCTATAATGATCGAGTTCTTACCATAGGGCCTTCATTTGATTCGCATACTTAGTGACCGTTCTTTCTCCTTGTCTCGCAACAATTGTCTTCACCTTAACCTCATAAACTTGAGTTGCATCTCTTGCCTTGGAGTATGTTTGTTGAATTGCATCCTATTTATCTATGGCGGTTGCTAAAAACATACATGTATCACTGATTTCTGGGGTCATAGAATTCCATAGCCATGCCATAATCATGGAATCCTCCTCATCCCATGCCTCAAACTTGGGATCCCCCGGTTTTGGTCCAGTCCCTAAAGGATGGTTGAGTTTTCCTTTTCCTTTCAGTACTGTCTGAACCAATTGTGACCACTTAAGGTAGTTTTTCCCATTCAGTCTATACGCAGCTTGTATATTCTGCAGTTCTCTAACCTGCTGAGACCGTCCATTCTCTGTCTCATCCAACGATGTTGCAGCGGTTGTTTTTGCCACTTCCGACATCTTCCAAAGCAGTTTTGAGGGCAATTAAGGTTGGTCCTATGCTGCAGACTCCACCAGCGATGAAGGCTGAATTGATTGAAGCAATTCCTGGCAGCAACCGTGACAATTGAAAGCAATCTCCCCTTGAGACAGCGATCTAATGATTCCAGCGATGAAGGCCGAACAAGGAAATAATTCAGGTCGAACAAGGAGACGATTTTGGCATTGAAGGCCAAACAAGAGACCAATTCCGGCAATGAAGGCCGAAAATTAATCCCAGAGATTCAAGCCCTAAGGCTCTGATACCATGTGGGAAAATAAGAGAAGAAAAATATTTCTTATTTACTGAATTATCTATATAGCCGGCCCTCTTAGGGTTTTATACACAAAAATAGAATCTCCTAGATTACACCTTATCCCATTATTCATGGATATCAGGAAACTAACTGATTACCCTAATTTTAGGGATACAAAATATAAAATTCAAACTTTCCTAATATATCCTATTTACAAAATCAATAGATTGTGTTTTCCACTTATTATTGATCTTTATCAGTAAAGTTTTTCTTATCTACAACAAATACAAGCCTTAATCCTAAATTAATTGGGTCGGCTATATGGATTTCTCGTTTTCAGTCAGCTCTATTAAACACGAGACCCTCCTGAAGCCCTAGATCTTGAAAGTCGTGCCTAACTACGTCAACCCAAGTCATTCTTGGTCTACCCTTCGCTCTCCTAGTACTAGGTATTTGGATGTTCTCCCAGCACTAACAGGTGCATCTAACGATCTACGTTGTACATGCTCGTACCACCTCAGACGGTTTTTCCGTACCTTATCTTCTATTGGTGTTACACCTACTTTACTACGAATAACTTCATTCTGTATGCGATCCATCCTAATATGGCCACTTATCCATCTTAACATACGCATCTCCGCCACACTCCTCTTGTATATTTGTTGTCTCTTGATGGCCCAACATTCACTACCATATAACATAACTAGGCGAATTGTTGTCCTATAGAATTTTCCTTTCAACTTAATAGGCATCTTATCATTACATAAAACTCCCCTGACATTCTTTCACTTAAACCACCCCGCCTTAATCCTATGTCCAATATCCTCATCTATATCCCCTTCACATTGCACTATGGACCTAAGGTATCGAAATTTTCTAGAAGCCCCAATCACCACACCATCTAAAGAAATTTCGTCACTCTGGTCTCTCAAATTACTAAACCTACAATGCATGTACTCAGTCTTCGTTCTACTTAACTTAAATCCCTTCGTCTCAAGGGTCTGTCTCCATAGTTCTAACTTACGGTTAATTCCCTCCCGATGTTTATCAACTAAAACTATATCGTCTGCAAAAAGCATACACCAAGGAATCCCATCTTGAATTTCTCTTGTCAGCTCGTCCATCACGATAGTGAAAAGATAAGGACTAAGAGCGGAACCTTGATGAAGGCCTATTGGAATGGGAAACTCTTCCGTGTAGCCTCTAGCAATTCTCACACTTGCGACAACTCCATCGTACATATCCTTTATTACCTTGATATACCTCATATGCACTCATCTCTTCTCTAGTATTCACCATAACACTTCTCTCGGTACCCTATCATATGCTTTTTCTAAATCTATGAAGACCATATGCCTTTTCTAATTCTATGAAGACCATATGCAAATCTTTCTTAACTATTCTATACCTTTCAATCAGCATCCTAAGAAGAAAAATAGCCTCCATGGTTGATCTATCGGGCATGAACCCAAATTAGTTACCTGAGATGGTAGTTGTGACCCTTAATCTCTTTTCAATAACTCTCTCCCAAAGCTTCATAGTGTGACTTATCAGCTTTATGCCCCTATAGTTGTTACAGTTTCGCGCATCTCCTTTATTCTTGAAGATGGGAACGAGAATACTTTTTCTCCAAGCATCGGGCATATGCTTCGTCTTTAGTATATCGTTAAAAAGCTTAGTGAGCCACTTAAATTTAAAGTTTTTCTTATCTAAAAAGTTAAAATTTTTCACCTCTCTATCATTTAAAATTCGGTATGATAGCTACTGTTTACTTCCTTGGTTTGAACTAAGATTCAAACTTTTTTGCTAGAGTGTTTTTTCTGACAAAAATTTAAATTTTTGTTCAATTTCAAATTTTCTATTCAAATTTATGAAACGAACGGCCACTAAGTTCTTGAAATTTGATCACTCGAATTGCAACGATGGACACTTTTTTTTTTTTTGGGAAAGAAACAGAACCTTTATTAATGAAAAGGAATAGTGAGGAAAGAGGAAGAGCTTTCCTCGAACACACTTGAACCAAAAATACAGAAAAGAAACAAAAAGACCAAGGCCAAAACTACAAAAACAAATTAGAGAAGAGCTATAAAAAAAGAGGCAACTCCTAACGAAATCTGAAAATAGTGGCCCGCCAAACTGTCCCTATAAACCCACAAAGAAACCCAATATGTAATTTTATCCCATAAGAAGAAACCTCTTCCCCGTGATCCTCAAAAAATCTGTTATTCCTCTCTAACCAGATACCCCACACAAAGCCAAAGTTGCAGGTGGAGAGAACTGTAACAACTTAGCTGAGTCCTTGGGCAAAGCCCAACAAATATCAAACTCCTGAAGAAGAAGAAAAGACCAGGTTTGATGAGAGAAAGGGCAGTGTAAGAAGAGGTGGTCTGCTGACTCTCCGTCGTTCTTGCATAAAATGCACCAGCCTGGAGAAATTGAAAGAAATGGACTTCTACGCTGCATCAGGTCATGAGCGTTTAATAGGGGCCAGCTAAATACTTGAACTTTACTAGGGACACGAGTTTTCCAAATGTTGTTAAAGAAAGCAAAACGTGGAGCTGAAGGTTCAGCTATCAGAGAAGAAAAAAGTGATTTGACAGTGAACAAACAACTAGTTTCAAGCACCCATTCCCTTCTATCTTTGGTCACACCATTGAGACGAACCCTCTCCACAGCAACAATTAACTCTGAGACCTCCCTCAACTCTCTATCCGTCAAATTTCTTGAAAACTTAAAATCTCACGAACCAAGTCACTATCCTGAGAGTTAATGTCCAACATAAAGCTTGCGATTGGACACTATTAGCAACCAAAATAGAAGATGAGGAGATACAAGAGAAAGGTCCTCCCCCTTCTCAATTTCCCTCACCTAGGTTATCTTTCCTTCCTTTTTTCTGTCCCGCTTACCAAACACAGCCTAACGGCTATGTTGATTATACTTTAATCTTGACATTTGAATCTTCAACTTAATCGTATTATGAAAACCACATGCAGATGTACGTCAAACAAGATACCTAGTGAACGTGCTAACCTATCCTTCCAATAATAAATACTAATTAACACTGTACTTAACAATGATAGCTTCAGGTACGTCATCTTGAGATCAAGAAGGAGAAGGAAGTCGAAAGAGAAAACCTTGTCAAGTTTCTGCTTGATGCAATGGCTGTACAGTTCAGAAATCCTTCCATCTGGAATTAGATGTCTCCCATTGCAACACTTTCCTGTGGTGCATGACTCAAGATACTGGGTGATTTCCTTGTGCAATCACTCGGGAAAGTGTAGTTTTGAAATTCTTCCGGTAGTAGAACTTGTTGCCCTGCACTTGAGTCCTTTTGCCGGTTAGATGTTTCCCATTTGTATAGAAATTAGTCGCTATTATGGCCAGTTAGTCAGAAAATCTTATTTGTGATAGAAGTACTCTTTTTTTTTTTTTTTTTTTCAATGAAAAACAGTTTTGCAGGTTTAGTCTTGTTTATATCATGTTTTCTTTAGCCGCCAGATTCCTTTGTGATTCTACAGACTGAAGCTGTAAATATGTAATTTTGGGGTGAAACCGCCGGATTCTTTTGTAATTCTACATAGTGAAGCTGTAAATACGTAATTTTGGGAAGTAGTAAATTTTGTCAAGTGTTTTAACATGTTATAGTTTTATTACATTATCAAGTAAACGTAGTTCTTTCCTAGATTCATCATTTCAAAGAGTTCTGATGATTGGTCGTATTGTTCTCCTTAAAAGTCTATTTAGTGTGAATATTGATCAAATTCTGACCATTCATACAACCAGACTTCTTTCATATTTAGTCGTTGCGTGAATGTTAATATATTAGTGATCCCATTGTGGATGTTTTCCATTTATAGATTGTTCTCATTTTTCTAGCATTCCTACTACCGCCCTAATTATCCTTCTTACCTACGAAAATTAAGGGTTGAAATATTCTTGGTACGGGACAAGTGTTCTTTCTATTTAAGGAGATCTGTATTTTGACGTTCCTTTTTTCTTTTCTTTTTTTTCGTTTATGTTACCTAGATACCCTTGATTAATGTCTTTTAGTCCACGTTCTAAGAGAAATTAAAATGGTAGAACTATACGGATACCTCGTATGTTTTCTTCTTAATTACCACTGTTGACGGTCAAATTTCGTCAATAAAAAACCGACCGGATTACCTCTTGGTTTTCCTTCGGATTACCGGCCGCGTGTGTATAGTTTAACATATGTGGTTTTGTAGAGCATGTGTGTGTTTGTAAGTTAACTAAATCATACACAGACAAATGACACAAGGAGTTTTTATAGTGGTTCACTCTATAAAATGAGAGCTACATCCACTGTAGTTTTGTATATCTTTGTTGGAAGATCACAAGTTACAATCATAATGCTCATTAAATTTGTTCTTCCCTTGTTATTCTCCCGAACCCCCTCCTTACTAGGGTCTTCCTCTTTTTATATTGGGCTTCCTTCACCTAGGGGGTTTCCTTCATAAGTGGAGGCACTCAAGTGCTCTCCTTTGGTAGGCCTAGACGTAGTCCACTAATAAGCACTGTTCACTCAGCCAATTAGTCTCCCATTATGGCTCTGTGCTTCCCCGTAACACTTTTTTGTCCCCTGTGGGGGCAGCCTGACAGCTTACAATTAATGCATACAGACCTTCTCCACTTTTGCACGTAACCCGTTACGTCATCTAAAGGACGTTCCCTTCGTCGTCAGCACTGCTCAGCTCAATCGCTTTCTTTGGTGGCCCTTTCTGTGGTCGAGAGATCTTCATCCCTTAGTGTCGACGGCGCAATCAGTCGACGCCATAAGGGATCGTCGCTCGGACTTGGACTTCGTCCTTGGGCCTTCGCAGCGAAATAGGAGGGGTTCGTAAGCGTCGAGGGTTCCTTGCTTGGTGGGGATTTAGTCAGGACCACGTGTCGCGGTCTACTTCGTCCACGTGTCCGTCACATTTTCCCACACAACAGCTACCCCTCAGGTCGATGGCTTCTTTTGGGTGGCCTCGGACTTAGGTTCGGTTGCCCTCTCGTGCTTTGGGTGTGGGAAATCGGTCCCGAGCCTCCGTTTATAATGATGGCCTGGGTGCTTCGGATATCCTTCGGGGAACGCAACCGTCGTGTCGATTGATTTCTCATGATACCGTACGGCTTTAATTTGAAAGAATGGATACGGGCCTTTGGATCGCGCCCTCTCTGCTTCCCGCCCTATCTTATCACCGTCAGATCCGGGCAGGATTCCTTGGCCATTGGATTTCTAAGATTTTCATCTGGCGGTCAGGGTCGAGGATGCCCGTCCCTTTAAATACCCTCTGCGAACTCGGGAGCCATTTTTTCAACACTTCAGATTCTTTTTGCATATGTTGTACCGCCGCCTTCTCCGACGGACTCCTTGCTCTCCAACCTCCGGTTCGTGCTTTCTGCTCTTTCGAGGCGCACTGCGCAGCCGTTCTTCTCTCCAAACTTTCTCGGGAATCCTTCTTCTCCGGTAAGCCTTTTTGCCCTCTGTCTGCTGCTCTTATACATGGGCTCCTTCTATTTCTTTTGTTTGAACTAGGTGTATATATCTAAAGAATGCGCAGAATGTAGAAGTTAGGGAGACTTACTCCATTTCATTTTTTCCGCGTTGGATATTGTCCCCTTGCTGTCTGTGTGCTTCCAGTTTCTGGGTTCTGGAGAACCTGGAATCCTACGAGCACTCGCCGTCACCATTCTCATATGAATGGTCGGCGTTGAGTCGAGGCGTTTGAGTTGTCATTGCTTAGGATAGCCATCCTTTCATCCTTTCGACGTTAGGACTTTAACTTAGCTTCTTGCCTGTTTAATTTACCAGAACAATGGCCCAAAGTTTCCTCAGTCGAGAGGATTCTCCCGTCGTCCGCCCAGACCCCCATTCTGTGGTGAAGATCTCCTGGTCTTCTTCGTCTTCCAGCGTCGATTCCGTGCTGAGAGACATAGAAGACATAGAAGACATCGGGGCTGGACATGAAACTAGATACGCACCAGGCGATAGCTTTGGTAGTGAATTTGAAAGCTTCGAGCGGATTTTGGACGAGGCAGCAGAACAGATCCCTTTTACGGGGGGCGACGTAGGCGGGTGGCTGCCTCGACGGTAAATGCCCATCTGGCTGCCACGAGCGGTGAGCCGGATAGGCCTTTCTCCACAGCCGACGTTGTGGCGTCGAGGGTCCGGAACAAGGATATCATCCGGGCTGTGAAGGAATGGTGCATTGACGGGAGATGGTTCGAATACCTTCTCCCAGACGTGCATTTTAGAACCAGCATGCCGCCGACCGGATATCTTCCGGTCTATACCAGAGCTGTTACCGCGGGGATGACCCTCCCAGTTCACCCCTTCGTAAAAGACTACTGCCACTTTTACAGTATTTCCCCTGCTCAGCTGGCGCCAAACTTCTGGTACTGCTTCGCTGGGGCCTGGATTTATGGCACCAGCAATTCGACATGGAACTCCCTGTGGATGAGTTCCGATTCATGTATAGGCTATGCCACGTCGCCAAGTGTGAGGGGTGGTATTTTTTGAGTGGTCACGGGAGGTCCCAGCCAAGATTTGGGAAGCTTATACTGGGCACTCCCTCGTCGTCACATGGGTGGAAGCCCATATTCTTCATGATTCTAGGGCCTTTCAACTTTCATCCCAACGACCGCCTGCCCCGTCGAAGGCAGGTGCAGGCGGCGTTTGGGAACATGGGTAAGTCTTTTGGCTTTCTTTTATCTGACTTTGATTTCTGCCGTCCTTCTACCGACATTCCATTCGTGTTACAGTCAGTCAGGACCGGCCGAAGTTCTCGGGGAACAGCTTGGCGAGGATTGATAAGGCTTTTTCTTTCTCGTCAGAGGTTCGTCATATCGAAACGCTTCTGACCAAGAAAAACCTTCGCGAGGCCGGTCTAATCCTTGATCTCCCAGACTCCGCTGATTTAGACGCCGTCCGTCAATACTTTCACCTAAACGACGAAGGTATTCTTTGCTTTCGACGCCCTTCTTGATTGTGACTTGGGTTCTTCCAACGCTGTTTGTATCTTAACCTCGTCGTTTCCTGCAGAGATGGCGTCTTTAGAGATCCAACTTCCTGGCAGCCAGCAGTCTGGGCCGAGCCAGCCACCGCCGTCAGACCAACAGCCCCCATCGAGCCATCCGCCCCTGTCGAAGGGAAAAGAGAAAGCTTCTTCTTCCCGCGTCCCAAAGAGCAGGAAGACCAAGGGTCATTCGGGGGCGGAGGCGGAGGTGGAACTTGTGCGGAAAAAGAGTCGCAGGGAAAAAACGCCGATGACAGAAACGTGGACGCCGATGGTCCCCATTCCCGACGTCAACATTCCGCTGGCGCCGAGAGAGCGCATGCTTATTCCAAGGGCTAAAATTATGGACCCCAAGTTCCAAGTCTCGGATATATCTGATGCCGAGATTGGGGCGATGCTGAAACTTTCCCCTCGCTTCTCCCTCGTCTTTTAGGCTCTTTATAAGTCCTTCCTTGAGCCACATTGGGTTGCTGCCGCCCACTTTTCTTTGGTCGACCGTTAGCCAAAACAGATTTCCTTCCAGATCCATGTAAGACTCCTTTTTTTTTTTAGCTCTTCGTTCTGTATTTCTGCTTTTCTGACCTTCAACTTTTCAGAGCCTGGTTCTTTCCATTCTCAACCTCATTGACCTCGTCAAGGTCGAGGAGCGTAAAAATGAGATGGACGAACTGGAGGCCAGGCTTCAGTCCCTTGTTTCCAACGCCAAAAAGAAACTAGATGATGCTGTTGAGAAGAGGGACTTGGCCTTGGCCAAGCTGGCGAGTCTGGAAGATGAACTACAGAAGTTGAAAAATGAGGTCGCGAGTCTCAAGGAGCGGGTGGACCTGTCTGATAAAAAGTTGTCTGAAGCAGCTGAGGAAGTGGAGAAGCGTTTTGTTGAAGGGAAAACTGAGGGGAAGAGGGAAGCTGAGGCAGAAGCTGCATTTGCTTTCGACGCCAGGCGCGCCGAGATTATTGAGGAGTTCAAGGCTTCTCAGGAGCTCACTGACATCCGTACCAGGGATTTTCAATCTGCGGGTCAACAAATTGTCGACCTGATCAAGAAGGAGCGTCCTGAGTGGGATTTGAGCTTCCATTACAACTCTCCTCCTCCTGTTGGCGATGACAATGTTTCCCTGCCTGGTGACGATGAAGAATCGGCGGCTGGCGGCGAAGCCTGAATGATCTTTACCTGTCTCCCTCTTATTTGTAACTCTTTGTTGATTCAGACATCTTTTATTTTATCTGCTCCTTATATACATATAAAAGACAACAGTTTTAATTTATACCTTGATTTGCAATTGCTGCTTTCTTGGAACTCCTTAGAATTTTACTAAGTTTTTCGCTTTTCCTTTTTTTTTGTGAGATCTGACGTCGAGTGTACCCCTTGGGGTCGTCGTCTTTTCTCTTTGGAAGATCTGACGTCGAGTGTACCCCTTGGGGTCGTCATCTTAGAAAATTCTTTGGAATTTCGCTAAGCTTTTGTCTTTCCTCCTTGGAGGATTTGACGTCGATTGTACCCTTTGGGGTCGTCGTCTCAGAAAATTCCTTGAAATTTCGCTAAGTCTTCATCTTTCCTCCTTGAAGGATCTGACGTCGATTG